AAAGACTACAATAGTATTTTCTTTTAGCAATAATCTTTTTTATTCACAACTTTGACAATCGTTTTATGATGAATAGGTATATTTATGCAAAATATCTAACATTTAAATATAGTCACTAATATATATTTATATAATTATCAGCAACAATCATGACCATTTCTTAAGACTGCGAAACTAAATCTTCAAATTACATTGTCAGAGTAGATCTCCAGCTTCAACAACTTTTGATGTTACAATAGCATACCGAACATGATATACTCTATAATTTATGACTGATAGTTGCTTTTAAACCAGCACCATCCTAAAGTGGCAGGCCAGGAGTCTCTAACAAAAGCAGTGGTTTAAATCCCACAAGCCTGTCTGACTTTCAAAAGAAGGGCTTTGGCATCCCGGATGAAATGTGAATGCGGATATCAAAATGGGCGAAACCCTTTGAGGGGAAAGCGCTCAAGTTTTGAGGTCTAAATAGTCTAATTAATCCTTATTACACAGAGTGGCTATTTAAATGCAGTGAGTAACCTGAGACCTCTCTTGGGGTCAGAATCTTTTAAAGGCACAGTGGACGGTACAAAAGGTCCAGCACACCTTTAATCTTGAACCTCACCGACAGGAAATATCAGCCTGGCATCTTGCCCTCAACTTGCTATGGATCTCCTTTATGTGGTCACACACATTATTGAGGGCTGTGATTCTGCTGTCAGTACAATATAAAGGTGAACGGTTAAACGGTAAAAAAAAAAAGTGAATCTACAGTTTATTTTAAGATAGATAGATAGATAGATAGATAGATTCTAATTTCTGAAAATCTCACAATGAGAATGAGGCTGAGTAAAGAGTCCAATGTTTTATCATACCCTTATGATAATCCAATAATCAAAGCTGTATTTGTTTTACTTTATTGTATCAAAGTAGAGCATTATTTTACTACTGCCTGAAGCTTATAATTTCAATTTACATCAAGATCTATGATATTGTGTCATCCAGGTAAAAGTTTATACTTGGCAAGCCTAGTTCATATACTTCACCCTATGCAGTAATAAAAGCATAAAAAATGAAATGCCAAACTTGTAACTTGACCTAGAGCTTGATTTCTTTCCATCTGCCACCCGATGCAGTCACCAATGGAATCTCCATTATTTAATTTACAAGGGCCAGTTTAAGATAAATGTTGAAAATAACAATGGAGGTCCCACATATCAGGGGAGAATAATATTTATATCAGGACCCACCGTCTCTGCCGTCCTGGTCCTGGTAAGTAAAAGCTGGTCACGTAAACAGAAAGTGTAAATATTCTAAAAGTGTGAGTGAGAAGTTCTAAGCAGAAAGATGTTCCAAAGCACTCTATCTCTCACTTCCTCAAATACCACTGCCTTTACAGTGTCATCTTTACAGTGTCATCTGGCCAGGATCAGTTCTCTCCATCCTCACACTCAGACTGTCAATGTCAATGAACAGCTTAAGAGAGCACATAGATGAAGACCTACATAAACACACACGAAAGTACATATACACAAACACTGGAATGAAAATGTCCATTATTTATAAAGTTTGCCTGACTTGTAAATCAGAATATGGGTGTTCTTTCAATTAGGGCAATTCTTTGAAATCCAGAAAAAAAATGAAACTTTTCTAAACTATAGGGCTGTTCAAAAGGGGTCTGTATGATTTTTTTTTTAAAGAAATCAAAATTATTATTCAGTAATGGTGCATTAAATTGATCATAGGAAAAAGTTGACATTGAAAATGTCACTAAAGATTTCTATTACAAATAAATGCTGTTATTTAGAATTAAATTAGAATTAATCTTATAAAACTATAAGGATTGTAGTTTAAAACAAAAAAAAATCCAATACATTCTATGACCCCCATATATGCAAAAATATCTCCTTGCACCTTTACTATCTTTCTTTCATGTTCTACACTCCCTCTCTCTACACAGACGGTTCCTACATCTATTATTCATTTTCTCTCTTTTTCCCTGTCCAGTCACATGTTGACAACATGTTGCACAACAGTATTATTTTTGGATCAACATTAGTACATCATTATTTCCGGGAGACATTTGATTTCTGTAAAAATCATCTGCCAGCAACGTTCTGTTTCCCCATCGTCCAGCTGTGCGCACTTTGAAGATTCACAGCATTGATCTTTCATAAATCCCTAGACAGACCTCTGGTCACTCCAATACACTACAACCACCATATTAAACATTCTGATATTAATTATCGTTCGATAATACATACAGATAAATATATATATAATATATGGCCCAATGGCAAACAGACAAAAATCGAATTCATATGAATTAAACAGCTTTTCAAAAGTCAGAGGTTGTCACGATCCAAGAACCTGCAGTGAAAGCACATGGGCTTTCTTATTAAGGACATAATCTGTTCCACCACATTCTTGTCAGGCTGGACTTGCATTGGTGAACTGTAATATGAGAGGTGGCAACAAGCTTAAAGTAATTGGATTGGTATATAGCACTGAGTGTCAGACAATAGATAGTCATCTCTGCAACAGCCATCTGACTCTTTGTTCCTGGTTTCAGGCGTGATTTAGAAGCCCATAACTGCTTGGTTTGATCCCAGTCAAGGATGAAAAGGGGGGCGAGCAGAGCAGAGTGGGACCGGAAAAGTCTAGTTCAATCTGATGACCCGTACACATCTCGGGTCCCCAGTCGAATTTGGGCTCCCCAAAGGTTTGCGGCTTACTTGTGCGGTCATTACTCAAATCACATTAGCCCTGGGGCAGCTTTACAAACACAGATTCTGGCCTGTGGATAAGCTGACATGGAAAAAAATAATAAAAACACACACACAAATTGGTGTACAATTTGCTGTAAAACAATGTTCACTCAGAAATTGCAAAGGAAATGTCAAAAATTAAGAAGAAACAGCCAGTTAAATGTGAAATTTTGAAGTAGAAAGACTACAATAGTATTTTCTTTTAGCAATAATCTTTTTTATTCACAACTTTGACAATCGTTTTATGATGAATAGGTATATTTATGCAAAATATCTAACATTTAAATATAGTCACTAATATATATTTATATAATTATCAGCAACAATCATGACCATTTCTTAAGACTGCGAAACTAAATCTTCAAATTACATTGTCAGAGTAGATCTCCAGCTTCAACAACTTTTGATGTTACAATAGCATACCGAACATGATATACTCTATAATTTATGACTGATAGTTGCTTTTAAACCAGCACCATCCTAAAGTGGCAGGCCAGGAGTCTCTAACAAAAGCAGTGGTTTAAATCCCACAAGCCTGTCTGACTTTCAAAAGAAGGGCTTTGGCATCCCGGATGAAATGTGAATGCGGATATCAAAATGGGCGAAACCCTTTGAGGGGAAAGCGCTCAAGTTTTGAGGTCTAAATAGTCTAATTAATCCTTATTACACAGAGTGGCTATTTAAATGCAGTGAGTAACCTGAGACCTCTCTTGGGGTCAGAATCTTTTAAAGGCACAGTGGACGGTACAAAAGGTCCAGCACACCTTTAATCTTGAACCTCACCGACAGGAAATATCAGCCTGGCATCTTGCCCTCAACTTGCTATGGATCTCCTTTATGTGGTCACACACATTATTGAGGGCTGTGATTCTGCTGTCAGTACAATATAAAGGTGAACGGTTAAACGGTAAAAAAAAAAAGTGAATCTACAGTTTATTTTAAATTGTATTGCATATAGTATGTGCATGTCATGTAAATATTCTTTCTATAAAACAACTTTAAGTGAACCAAATGAAGGTCAAAATAAATGTAAATACTGAACTTTTAAAACAGCATTATTGGCTGAGCCAATGGTGTGAGTTTAGGGCAGGGCTATGTGTTTGACTGACCAATGGCAGACAGAGAGTCTGTTTGCACTGTTAGTGATACTAAATTCTATACATTTCAAATTTAAGAATTCTAATAAAGAGTAATATACTAACATGACATAAAAATGCTTGTAATTCCTTTTTTATTGTTTTCTTTCTGTGGTATCGCTTCCTTACTCAGATCCAACACAGAGATAAACAGAGACCCTCACTCATCTTTCAACATCAAGATTAATAGACTCCCAACACCGTGACTAAAAAGCTATTTGATTGACATGTAGAAATGCACTTTTCCTTATAGGGTTTGCTTATCAGAAGATTTCATACCACAATCCAGCAGTTGTAAAATGATGTGGCGAAATAACCCACAAGTTACTGATTAGCCACTGTCTCATGCTGTGGGACTGTTTGCACTAAGGTCTGTGGTATGACCTGTAGCGTGACCTGTATGCATGACGTCAGAGAAAGAGTAAAAGATATCTGGCAGGTACTCGAGTCATAATTTGCTTTACATAACCTGTCTGTGGGATTCTGTATTCGGATAGCTTTTCAGATTTGCCCCGTGCCCACAAGAGGGCAGCAAGAGCTATGGGGGCAATTAACTCAAGATTACTGTATGTGGATCTGTGCACACAGAATGCCTGAGGGATTTTATCACACATGGGTATCAAAATACAAGGCCAATCACTGAATGTTGACATCATAAAGTGAATGTCCCTTTTTGTGTCAATATTTCTACACTGAAAAATCGTATGACTTTGAAGGTTTCTAAATGTGCATTCCACAATTCTAAATAACAGTGTCTGTGACCTCTCATATCTGTCTGGCTGCAAGCCATCCGTTTTAAATGCTGATGCGTTTATTGTTATAGACAGACAAATTGTATTTTATTTAAAATATTTAACATACAGTGAACTAATTAGCCTAATATAGTAGGCTATGTTGCATTCCTTTTCCTTTAAAACTATATATCTATAAAAAATTTTGCAGTGAGACGAGACGAGAGAGTGGAAGAACATGCGGTTAAGTCTCCCAGATAAACCCGTCATCTTGTGGGACTGGGGGACACGGGCGGGGCTTCTCTACACACCACACCCTTTAACTTTTGAATATTAAAATTACGCATGCGTGTCCCACCCCCATTAACTGAACTTGGTGTGTTGAATGCGCAGTCAGTCAGTCGCGGACAAACGCTCACATGGCTTCTGTGTAATGTATACCCGCCGCTGAGAGAGAGAAGCAGAATACGAAAGATAAGAATTTCAGATAGGCTACGCTGGGATAATAGGAGGCAGTTTCCTACACATTGGAAAATAGTCTTCTGAAAGAAATAAAGTTGTTCTCCACCCGTGCATGTTAAATCGGGGAGTACATTAGAGCCGTGAGGCGGCTAGAACTTCTGAGTCTCAAAGCAACACCAACAAGAAGGCATGACTGTGCGACGGAGTTCAGTATTTTCTGCTTTCTACCTTCATGCCTTTTTGTTATTCTTGCCGACGAAGGTGAGTCTGTTTTAAATAGCTGACATGTTTTTTCTGTCTTTGTGTTATTTATTTTCAAAATATAATGTAACACAAAACTGTGTATTATAAAATAGCATTGACAAATGCAACCAAAAACAACCTTGTTTGGACCTCTCAAAAGCAGCGCAAACGTTCTGCATGGTTCAATCTGACACTTGACAGACTGGCAGACAAAGTTTAGCAGCCTATTCCGTAAAACGAGACAAATGTGATTTTGCTGCACTTTTTATACACGGATTTAAAGGTTGTTTTCTGCTTCTGCTCAACAGGTGTCTGACGCATCGGGGCACTTCGAGCTGGAAATCGTATCGATGCAGAATGCGAAAGGCGAGCTGCAGATCGGCTCGTGCTGCGACGGCGAGAGGAACCCGGCGGATCGCAAATGCACGCGGGACGAATGTGATACATATTTTAAAGTTTGTCTGAAGGAATATCAATCGCGAGTTTCCGCGGCTGGGGCTTGCAGTTTCGGAACTGGATCTACGCCCGTTCTCGGTGGGAATAAATTTTCGACCAAGGGTACGCGGAGTGAAAAGTCAAGGATTGTTTTACCCTTCAGTTTTGCGTGGCCGGTGAGTAGATGTCATATTTCTTGTTTTAGAGCATAATTAATGAGGTCATAGCGGGTTATGATGACGCAACGTTGGTGATACATCGTAGCAATGTTTCGATCCACGTTTGTCCTGGAGTTTATGCCTGCTCACTTTAGTTGTGTGTGCATGACACCGTAAACAAAAACAACAACTCAGAGTTCTTCATTACACTACTCAACCAACACTACTCAAAATGTTGTTTACTGACGAATAAAGTCGAGTTGAAAGTGATAACATTTAAATGTTAAACGGATGTAAGCAAAGATGTTTCCTTGGCAAAACATTTATAAATGTCTTGATTAGAATGTCGTGCCATGTTGACAGTGGCCTGCAGTAAATTCACTCCTCGTGAAGCTCCTTTCAGTGTCTCCTTTTTGGCAGTCAGCTAACTCTGTAAATAAATACATCAAATAAACCTCTTAATTTGTGTCACTGCAGTAGAATGCAAATAAAAGAAGATTTGTTTGGTGTGAAGCACATGAGCCGAAGCTCCACAGAAGAGAGATTTACCAATGTTTGTCTCGCAGCACTAAATAATTTATTAGTTGACCATGATCTCTTGAAATGGTAGTCATCTGTCTAAGGGGCTTTTATAACCTGTGTGATCAAGTCAGTCTAAACTGCAGGTGATTTGCAGTAAACCTGTGTGTTACGATATGCAGCCGTGTAATAGAATTCCTACTGTAGTATATAGTGTGATGTCTGCCAACATTTAAGCTGTATTAACTAAATAAATTGTGGGCCTGTGGACCCCTGAAGGTCCCTGAAGGTACTCCAGAGGGTCAATGGAGAATGTAAGCTAGATAGAACATACTTTTTTAGGAGATTTCTGACTATGTTTAATGATATGTTATGTAGTGACGTTAGTTAATATTCTTAATGAAAGTGTTACTCTGAGAAAATCTAGCTTTATTTATACTCGGAGTCACGGGGTTGGCTGACAGTCTGGTTGGGGGTCGTAAACCTTGGTGTAGTGTAACCTAAAATTGGTAGCAATACCTTTGTTGGAGCTATTTTAGTAGTATTGATCTACTTGATACAGTTTTCTGGGATTCCCTATTCAGAAATAGATATTCACAGGATTCCCACAGTCCTGGAAAACATGAAAATGTCAGGGAACGTGATTTTGAGACCTGTAAAAGTATAATCAATTAATCAAATTTTAAAAGTCGTGTAACAGTTGTAAAAATTAATTGGTCAGAAAGTGTGGGAACCCTGTGTTCGTGTTAATTTCTCAGGAGCTCTTGACTGTGGGGACATTGAACTGTCCTTTCGTACGATCTGTTGGCGTGAGCGCTTGTGCACCTGCTCGCTTGATGATGTCATTGTGGATACATTCTCAGCAGGGTCAAAATGAAAAAAACAAAGGACGAACTGTCGGTCTGACAAAGAAAACGTGTCCCTGTTTGAACTGTTTGCCCCAGTGAGCTGCCCACTTGTCCAGTATGTGAACTAGATGGCCAGTGGGCATGTGTTGATCATGTAACACTTCAGCTATTTTTGTGATGTGCACTTCCAAAGCATACTGCAAATGGTTTCTTTTAATCATCAAAATTATGATAAAATCTAAAATTACGATATAGCACACTTCAGTCAGTCGCTAATCATTTTTTCAGTTGGCAGCTGGGGAGAGTTGAAGTTTAGGCTTTGTGTCAGTCACGGCTGACTGGAGACTAGGTATGGCACCTTTTAACTTTGCAACCCTCGGTAATTACTCTCAGCAAGTTCCCAGACACAACAGCCAAATCTCGTCGCCAAACTATAACCGTTTCATTTACAGGAATACCACCCATTTATTTTGCACCTTTTACTGCATTTGATTGCCCCGTGCTTTTAGTTTTAGAGAGTGGTGTAGAGAGTAAAAGAGAGAGAGAGAGAGAGAGAGAGGGTTTTAGTCATAGCCCACCCAGACAGAGCCAGCTTCAGTGAACATGAAACAGGGGGTGACAATAGCCGGGCCAAACTGGCTACAGGGAGGATTACTGTGCATAATGGAGCCAGTCCAGGAATAATGCCGGCCCAGTGCAAGCAACAGGAAGCTGCGTTCGACTCAGCAGTGATGAGATCGGCTCCTAGACAAACCCGCCCCAGCCCTGACCTTACTTCTCATACTGGCCGTTTCAGCAAATTACAGCGCTGCTCTCTGGCCCCGTGGCCCTGAATGCACCTGGGGCCTGTCTGCTCAGCATGAGCCAAAAAGCTGGTTCACCAGCAAATTGGATAATTCCTTTTTTCCTGTCCCGTCTTCCATTCTGTTTAATAGTCTGTGAACCCGTTCCCTTTCCTAAAAGCTAAAATAGTATTTATGTGTGTATTTAATTCATGTCCCTTTCAAAGTAAACGGAAGTAATCCAAACCATATTTTAAAGTCTTTCTTTTGCTTTTCTGAGCACATTCTATCAATTTATTTTATGCTGTTGGGAAAGACAGCAGGTTGAGGGTTGAGGTCGGTGTGGGAATAAAATGCAGGTAAACCGTCCACAAGCCCGAGGGAAAGAGCTACGGGCAGCTAAGGGGATAATGACATGTTTGCTTTATACGGTCTCCTCTGATGTGGCACTTAAGTGCCAATTACTCAAGTCGTAGAACGGGGAAATGCATCGTTTGTCTTTTTTCTCGCCCTTGTTAAGGTCTTGAATGAGGTATTGTTAGGCCATTGTAAAGTAGTGTAGTACTGATGTTTTGTTTAGCTAACTTTTCTTAATCACCTCACACATGACTCAATTCCGATTTATGATGTTACCAGGAAACATTTTGTTGTATTGAGATGTTTAATCTTGAATACCCTCCCTTTGACTGGATACCTGACAGCTGATGTACTGTTTGATCCGATTCTCTCCTCAGTCCCTGCCCGCGATCACCTTCCTGAGTGACAGGAGATTAGATGGCTGCCAGTAACTCTTGTGTGCGCACAGGTGACTGACAGGCATGTTATCAGGGAAGCCCGTCTCATTTTCCACGCCAGAGAGAGCAGTGAAAGACTGTCAAAAGCTTTCCCTGCGAGACCCCCTTATCTGCGGCCACCACTCCTGATAGGAATCTCTCACAAAAAAGCCTTCCTTCTGTGATTGCACCTCCTGAAAGGCAAAAAAGGGAGGTTACCTTCTTGGTAATAGTCAGGTTTTCCAAGCTGCTAATGTAAACCCTGTTGACTTTGATTGATTGGAATCTGGCGGAGTATATCCGGAGCCAATGTTGAACGTTTGTCACTCTACATGTCAGTCTCTCCTTATTAGCAATCACACTTTTACCAGTGGAGACATCACTCGGCAGATTCCCACAGCAAGTAAGTGTGATAAAAGCAAAAAAACAAGGAGCCTCAGCCATTTGTAGAAGCTGAATACGTCCCATATCAGAGCTCAGGGGGTTTGGGAGCAAGTGTAGACCTTTATCAGATGTCTGTGAAGGCCTAGAGCGATAAGGCAAATGCAGTATAAAGTTTGGGAGTCTGCTGATGGGGATAGTGAGAGTTCAATGATGACACTGAGGTCAGTGTCAAGCATGGGAAAAATGAACCTGGCAGCAGCAGGCATTTAGAGCTGATAACCAGATTGTGAGTTATGGAGTGAGATCCAAAGCGGACCTTGTCTTTAAAACCTCCCCTGCTTCTCACCGAAAAACCATGATTGTTTCTCATTCATTTAGCCTGTTTAAACCCTTTTAAGGCACAAAACGTTCCTGTAGCTCAAAGAGTAGAGTGTGTCGCTAGCAACGCCAAGGTCATGGGATTGGTTCCCAGAGAATGCATGAACTGATAAAAAAAATATGCCTTCAATGCAATGCAAGTCACTTTGGATCAAAGCATCTACCAAATGCATAAATGTAAATATAAAACTATAATGTCAGGTAAAACAATTGCTTAGGTTACTAAGTCCATCACCTTTTTTAGTCACTGTCCTGATCTGATGGGAGGTTGTGCTAGCTCATATCCGGACATGTCCGTAATATACGGCAGCAGGCACTTTCAAACACTGTGTGGAAGTGCAGGGCAGCTGAAATTAATGAGCTGTGTGCTTGATATACATAAACTGGCAAGATTTGTTAATTCAATGGGGGCTGTGAATCAACAGCATGTTTGTGTTAACAATGCGTTCAAGTGTGGACAAGGAGAGAAAGGACAAGGTGTATCCCAGTGGAGGTGACACAGCTTGCATCAAATAAACTGATATTTGATAACCATAAACACGGTGACTGTGAAATGGCTGAGTAGCTGGTTAGTGAGTTTGAGTAGTGTCATTTTTTTAAGTTATATTAATGGGATTTTTATGCCTTTATTGGGACAGGACAGTAGCGTTGAGTGGAGAGAAGTGAGCGGGATCGGCAAAGGACCTCGAGACGGAAATCAAGCTCGGGTCGCCGCAAGCACAGTTGCGCTGTATGTATGCACTAACCACAAGGATATTCAGCGCCGACTTTATTTTTTATTTATTTTAGGTATTTTAGCACCTGTGCTTTAATTAGCACTTGGAGATTTTGCACAGTAAAACTTTGTCCTTAAAACTTGTATCTTTAAATGAATGCACCTGAAGCACCTCCTCTACATGCAGATGGATGTCTTTAGCTGTTGTATCTTGGCCATACATGATGTTTTTTTGGGAAATTAGTTTAAAATACTTTCAAAAATGTCTTGAATGTCTAATCAGAACCCAAAACTTGGATATTAAAAATATACAGTTTAGCACATCCTATTTGTGTACCTTTTAGGAATGCACAATATATCAGCACCTTAACAGGTATCTTCCTATTTATTTTTTTTAATTATTATTTATCCGATTGATACTGGATATATACATATATACCAAAATTCAATTGTGCATGCTAACTTCAGACTTTTTATAGTTTTACATTTAGATGCCTAAATTCATTTGTAGCATTTAAAATGGCAGGTTTTAGCTTTCAGTGTTTAATTTTTCATTTATTTAGACAAAATAATATAGAATCTTAAAGAGAAAGTTGTATTGTATTGACTAGAATCTTTAGTACCACTTGATTGACATTTCCCACTTGAGGTGATGCTTTGTTTTGGCGACTTTATTATCTTGATATTCTTCAGGTCATCGAGATCCGAATGACCCAGACTAATTTGAGCTCTTTGTACAGTGAGAGGTGTTGCACATTGGTTTGTTTGAATGGTCTGGCATAGGGGATTCAGGATCCATTGTTGCTGCAAACGGACAGTGAGAACCTTGGAGATGTTGGAAATTCCGTGGTCCCTCGTCAAGAGTGCGAGTGTGTGAATCTGACAAGTAGGTGCCGAAAAGAGACGCTTCAATTCTGGCACAGGCGCATTCACACGCACGCTCGTTTTCTCTCATATGCTTTTGCTTTTTTCGATCAACTTCTAACACTAAATCCTAGATATGGACGCTCATTTTATTCTCTCAGGCGGAGTATTCTCTCTCTCTCTCTCTCTCTCCGTGACTCTTGTTACCTGATACCGGTGAGAGCCATGATGACCTTAAGTCAGACAAAGCGTTTCAGAAGTGCTGAAATGTAGCCAACCCCTCCAGAGATCTCGGCCTGCATTGGAGTCAAGCAGCCCACCCCCCGCAACTCCCTCAGATCCTCACTCCACATTCCTCTCCGTGGAGAAAAAGAGGAACAAAACACAGCACACAAAAGACCTGAAAGCGAGAAGTGAAAGGGGATTTTTGTGGGTTTTTCAAAGAAACAAGTTCACTTTCAACCTGCAATTTTCTTCTCCTTCTCGTAACTCTTTCTGTCATGTGAGGTAATTATGCAGAATGGGCATTAGTGGGAATTTATTAGTATGTATGTACTGTAAGGCATTCTGTGGAAGAAATGACAAAAATATATTTTTTTTAAATATGAACCTTGGTAGAACCAAGGAGGTCTATAATACTTGGACAGCACTGGACTGTTAGCATTCCCATTGCTCAACTGGTACAGAAAAGAAGTCCACAATTTGATTTCCACCAACATTGCTTAAGAGCACTCAGATCTGCATACATTAGCCAATAACCACAAATATCATTTGACTAATCACATGATGACATCAGCCAACCAGCAACTGACATCATCAAGACATTTACAATCCCAAACTTTTCAAAGGGGAAAAGTTGTTTTTTGCCCTCTAATGGCGTAGTTATGGCATCTACCAGTGTGTTTCACCTGCCAGCCAAACCTTTATCTCTTGAGTCAAACTGTGGTGTTTTCTCAGAGTACCATGTAAATAATGTGGTACATGGATATGAATCATTCAGCATTATTGTATATATTAAAGAACCATGATGCAGCCATCCAATTCCATCACTGTGTTTCTCATCTATTATATAGTCAAAATAGGATAGCTATTTCCTTCCAATTTGTCAAAACTGCAAATTAAATGGCTGCTTTGCATAATAAAGTTAGTACTTAAGATAGAAGGACTTCTTTGAATGTACAAAATGTTGGACCGTTATATCCTTACAATGACCGCTGAACTGATGCCACATAATTGTCAGTGAGAATAACATGACCCAGTGATTCAACTCTACTAGACACTCACACATAATAAACACACGCATGTAAAAGAAGTCTGAGGTCTGTCATTTCTGGAAATTTCATTATTTTCCGGGGAAAAAATTCAGAATGGAGAGGAACAGCATGATGCTGCAATGCTCAAGCACAGTGAAAAGCCTGTTTAATTTGTTTTGTTTCCTTATTACTTGGTTTGAATTTCCATTTTATGTATGTAATAATTGTATCTTTTATAATCTTTACAAAAGGGATTTTATCTTTAATCTCATTTTTTTAACTTGTTTCCATGTGAAGTAATTGTGCTTATTGTAATTATTTTTTATTATAAAGCACTGTGAGCTGCATTCCTTGTATGAACGGTGCTATACAAATAAAGCTTATTGTTACTAATATTATTACATTTTTATTAATTATTAACATTTTTTGTAAAGAAACATCTCAAATGGCACCAAATGTAATAGTTGAATTTCATGTGCACAAGCAAATAAGTTTGAATGAACAAATTTGTTGATTAAATAATGTCACTCTGTGAAGGTTAGAGAGCTGCTTGGTTCTTTCGATTGGATCAACAACAGTCTCCTACAGTTATATTACCACAACAAGGATGCTTGTTGATCTATTCTGCCAGTAATTGTTTAAATTGTAAAGATGGTGATACTGTATCTGCCCAAAGTTTCAGAAGAGCACTACCAGATAAGGTGAAGGTTGTATTATTCTTCTGATCTTTCACGCCACATTTCTCAGCATGTCCCCATGGTCACATTTTGTCATTGGTGTTTATTGGTTACGACTCAAGGTCCCTGACTAAAGCTCTGTTGATGTAAAATGATCTTTGATGTTTCTTTGTTTTGGTTTCATTGCTGACTGCATGTGTGTTGTTCTCTTTCAGAGGTCCTATACGTTGATAGTGGAGGCCTTGGACTTCAATAACGATACTGCCAGCGAAAGTGAGTAGCATCTTTGGCTGTTTGTTTTGCTTCTTTTTGTTTTTATTTGCTTTTTGGTTGATATATTTTTTCTGTTTTTTGTTTCCCTCTTTGATGTCCTTTCTGTGTTTCTTGCTTTGTTTGATTTGTTTCTGTTTTTGTTTTGTCTTATAACTTTTTTCTTTTGTTTAAACTGGGAAATGTAAGAAATTAAAGTTTGTTTTGTTTCGTCTGCATAAATGTTTTTCTTTCGTTTAAACTGGGAAATGTAAGAAATTAAAGTTTGTTTTGTTTTGTTTCTTCTTTTTTCTTTTGTTTAAACTTTGAGAAATGTAAGAAATTTAAGTTTGTTTTTGTACCATTTCCGCTCATAGCATGCTAGTCTTTAAACCAAATGTGCTGACAGGTGTGTGTGACAGGACAGGGAAGGGAAGAAGAGGAAGACTGTGTGTCTGTCTGTGAGAAACATTGTTGAGGGGGCCTCATGCTTATGAAAATGTTTCCGAATACCTGATGACTAATGGCAGGTGTTGGCAGTCAAGGTCTCATGGCCTCTCTGTCACGGTGCATAGCTCAAGCACAAGGTTATGTTTGCTATAACCTTTCTCTTCTTACACCTCAACAGGGCTTAACACTCCAGAAACAGTCCCATTTAGACACTAAACTGAGTCTGGTGGAGTTCATTTGAATAGCTCTTCTAGGTTGTGTTACCATTAACTGGTATAGCGACTTCCAGCTATATCCAGATATTCTGAATTCAAAGTTTTTGTTGCAGAAAAGCTTATGTTGAAGTTGTACTCTTGTCTTGTACTCTACAGTATGTATCAGCTTATAGACTGCATATGCTAATGGTTTATCTGGTGCTAGAACCTGTAATTTTACTATTTGGATTGGTGGTCTTTTCAAATACTTCCTAATATGTGTTGTGCTACATTTTAGAGGTATTTGTTTCTGTTTATTGGACTTTGAATATTCAAATGAAATATTAGAATCTGGAAATCCCCAAATCTGCAGCCAATTCAGACTTTCTTACATTTGTGACTTTGCTGCATTTTGAGAAGATTTAGTAACAACTTTAGTTTTATAAATATTGTAAAACAACATTGTCCACTAAAGGTAGATTTAGGCCAAAACTTTTTTTTTTTTTTTTTTAAAGCTGTACCAGCTCAAACAGTGAAACATGGTGCTGGCAACACTAAAGTCATGGATCTGATTCCCAGAAAATGTAGAAACTGATAAAAATGTGTGCAGTACCTTAAATGCATTGCAGGTTGCTTTGGTTAAAAATGTCAAGCAAATGCATTTGACAAACATTTTTATCCATATATGCCACAATTCAAAAATCTGGGGTTGGCAAGATTTTGATAAATGTTTTTCAAAGTCTCTTAATCTCACTTGGGCTGCATTTTATCTTTTATAAAAAATACATTAAAAACAATATTGTGAAACATTTTTACTATTTAAACCAACTTTTTTTCTATATTTTTATATTTTATGATGTAATTTATTCCTGTGATGGCAAAACTGAATTTTTAGCATCATTACTCCAGACTTCAGTGTCACATAATCCTTCGGAAATCATTCTAATATGCTGATTTTGTGCTCAAGAATCATGTTTTATTAATAGTAATGTTGAAAACGATTGTGCTGCTTAATATTTTTGTGGAAACCATGGTACATTTTTTTCAGGATTCTTGAGATGAATGAAGAGGATTCATGAGATTAGTCAATAAAGTTCAAAGAACAACATGAAATAGAAATCTTTTAGCATTATAAATGTCTTTACTTTCACTTTTGGTAAACTTAATGTGTCCTTGCTGAAAACAAGTTTTAATTTCTTAAAATCTTACTGACCCCAGACTTTTGAATTGGTTATTTATCAAATATATAAGAAATATATGTACACATATCATTAGTAGAATTTGTTTTTAATTTTTGCTAGCAACTCTCCTTATTCCTTGTCCTGAGGGTGTGGAGTTTTTTTCTGTCAGTTTAATGTGACTTCCTCACCCCACAGTGAAGTGGATCAGGCTGCAGGTAGTAAAGACGTGACACTTGGCTCTGTCCGCAGGGTTCAGGGTGCAAGTGAAATGCCACAACGACCCTCTGCATTCCAGAGTCCTATGAACTATAGGCCCACCTGGCCTCCATAATATCATCTATTTTTACTCTTTCTACCTCCTCTAGGAATAACAGTTAATATAGCTACCCATGTTGCATCAGTTTGCAGAGAACTTTAAAGATAAGTGTTTATGTGAAAGGGAGGAATAGATATTTCACGGTTCCCTGTTCTAGTCATATTCGGGAAAATGGTGAAAGATGTGAGCTGTCAGCTTACTTCATCTTCTGTGGCTGCAAAAAGTGTATACTTTGCTTGACATTATTCCTAACAAACACCCCTTGATAACAAGGTTTTCCACATCCTGACTTGTTTTGGACATGTTTCGTTCTGTATCTTCAGTCCTGCCCACCGATAGCCACACGGATGAACCACGACTGCATTTCAGACAGCATTGTAAACCTAAGTATATCATGGAGACCAATGGTGTCTACAGTGCTTTTGAGAAACGCAACCCAGCCCTAGTTGGGAGTATAATAAGAATTTAAGGATGAAATCTGTGGGTGAGTGGGCGGGTGTTTGATTGTGGTCAAAGTGTTTGAAGGGAATACATGTCAGATTACTTAGTTTACTAGTGCTTACATACATTTATTTCCAGTAAGTGTCTCTCAGATTCTACATTTATCTGTTCTAATCAAGGGGTTTTCAAACTTGATGCCAAGGATGATTCCCTTCCATAAATATAAAGGCTGGTATTTATTTTAAGACTCATTTAGGGTTTGTTCACACAGAATGCATTTTTGAATTCGACTTTGTTGCTTTTCCATTGTTTTTCTACAGTATATAAAAATGCGATAGACAGATGTGTTTGACCATTGAACTTGTGCAGCATCTCTAGATCTTGCTTTTTTTATTTTTGTTGTTTTTAAATGCAAAATGTCCCCTTACATTGAAAAATATTACGGGTGATATTATAAAAACAAATAAAATTTTATATAAAAATAGAAATTTTGTCATTTTACCAAATCCAAAATAAACAATTCAAATATTAGCTGGAAAAATTCTAAATAATTGAAATGAGTATTAGTGCTGATTTAAAGGGGTCCTATTATACCGTTTTTTTTACTTTTTCAACTTTAGTTAGTCTGTAATGTTGCTGTTTGAGCATAAAAAAGATCTGCAAAGTTACAAAGCTCAGAGTCCACTTCAAAAGGAGATATTTTATTTAACAGAAATCACTTTTCAAAAACTACAACGAACGACTCGTTTGGACTACAACGCATATTTTCCGGGATTTGTGATATCACAAATACCGACGAATGGGACGAGACCTGGTTGAGCTGCACTAGAGAAGGCAACTAGTGTCAGAGACACGCTAGCTTTCCCAAGGCGAACTTTGGTTACAATCATCTGGGTTTAAATCGCGCTCAAATTGATTTGATTTTGACGCAATATTTACACTGAAGCTCGCAGCAGGCGGCTATGGTAAGGGGCATGACATTTCCCGACCAGGCGCCGAGTGGAGCCAATCACAACACACATTGGCCCAGCTAACCAATCACAGCACATTTCGTATTTCAGAAGGCGGGCCTTCATTTGATACAGGAACTGTTCGAGCCGTTCATGCCAGACTGGGGAGAGAGGTGTTGTAATAATGTAAAATATGTGAAAAATAATGTGTTTTTCGAACAACCTAGTATGAGAGCCTGTTCTAGTACACCCCCAAAACAAAATCAAAACTTTGTAAAAGAGCATAATAGGACCCCTTTAATACCAACACTTTTTCTCTGTAATTTTCCATGGACCCCCTTGTGGCCACCTGGGGGTCTCCAGAAACCCAGTTTAAAACCCCTGCTCTAATTCACTACTCTGCATGGGATCTGAATCTACGGGGGTGAATATGTCAGACAGAGAGAGAGAAAAAGTGAGCAAGACAGTGTTTATTCACTGATGTCATGAGTCCTTGCTGCTAGTAGCATATTGTTTGCACAATGTTATTAATAGTGATTGTGGCTTTTCTTTCAGCTATAAACATGAGGGGTCATTTTAGGCCAGTGATATCTTTAATCTGTGAGCAACTAGATAGAGACATTGAAGTTTCTCGGTTAACCTTTAACTCTTTGAATTGTGTGTGGTGTTATTGTGTCAAGGCCTTTCTAACAGTTACACATTGACTGTTCAGGTGGAAAGCTAATCGAGAAAGCGTACCACTCTGGCATGATCAACCCAAATCGACAATGGCAGAAACTGACCCACAACGGCCCCATCGCTCAGTTTGAGTACCAGATCCGGGTCACCTGCGCTGAACACTACTACGGCTTTGGCTGCAACAAGTTCTGCCGGCCACGTGACGAGTTCTTTGGACATTACACTTGTGACCAGAATGGCAACAAGACCTGCCTGGAAGGATGGACGGGTCCTGACTGCAATACAGGTGAGCAAGTAGACTGTGTTAAGGCCCCCCTTTTTTTTGTGTATTTATTTAGTCAAAAATACAGTAAAAACAGTAATATTGTGAAAATATTATTGCAGTGTAAAATAATTGTTTCTTAATTTGATATATTTGAAAATGTATTTTTTTTCCTGTGATGCAAAGCTGAGTTTTCATTAGAGACTACTCTAGTCTTTAGTGTCACTTCAGGATACATTCTAATATACTGATTTAATAGATTTACTATAGGTCTGACAATCGTTTAAAGTTTTTAATCGAATTAATTAAATGATGTGTCGATTCATTAATCTAATTAATCGCAATTTTGCAAAGTACATTTGGCTGTGAAAATACCCCCAAAAGATTATTTTTAAAGCTTTTTTGTGTTAAATGAGAAAGTATTAAGTAGACATTACAACTAGTAGCTTTAGAAATAAATATTTGATTTGATTTAACATAAAATTCATTACACATAAATGTTTAGGTTACAATGGCCTAACATAAACTATGGAACATAAAAGAAGGTAATTTGAGAAAAAAAAATTTTTTTTTCATTCTATTTTTTTCATTCACGCAATGGAAGTCATTGGTAACCAGAACAGCTTACCAACAGCCTTCAAAATACCTTGTTTTATGTTCCACAAAAGAAAGTAAGTCATTCAGGTTTGAGTAAATGATTTTTTTTTAAATCCCTTTTTTTAATGAAATAATACTCTAAATAAGAAACAAAACCTGGCAGCAGGTGGCGGTAAATGTTTTTGAGTCAAAAATTCATTCGATTCGTTCAAACGGCTGATTCATTCAGGAATTCAGTAAACGGCTCACTTTATGAATGGGGCTTTGAATCATTGGTTCACACGATTCGTTCAAAACGTGGATTCATTCAGAAACGAACCACCGCTGTGTTGCTCACAGACGCACAACAGTTCTGCTGTGGCTTTAGGTAATATTTTTGTTGGCAAAACAGAGCAAAAACAGACAATATTGTGTTTAAAATATAACGCAATATCAATTTCTAACTGAACTGTTGTATAAAATCACATTTGCACTCGTGCTATTCCTGTAATACTGCTCTCGCTGCTCGTATGATATAGCTTATCGTATGATATAAATATGAGACAAAAATTCATACATGGGCATTTTTTGCACTAATATCTTGAATTTTAGGGCATAACTGCATTTATGGAGTTGTTGCCTTGCATTAGATTTGTCAAGTCAACTGTATGAAATGTAAGATGATGTACAGGTCTGGGAGCGGGGCCAGTGCGTTAACTGCGTTAAAATATTTTATTAAGCGTTATTTTTTTATAACTAGTTAAGTAAGTTAACGCGTTAAAGTGACAGCCCTAATTTAATATAAGTTTATATATTATAATTTAATATTATAATATTTCTTATTATTATCAATGTTAAAAACATTGCTGCTTAATATTTTTGTGGAAACAGTCAGTTTTTATGATTTTGTAATTAGAAAGTTTTACAAATTTCTTTAAAATATCATGTTAAAGTCTTTTTTTTTTTAGTTTTTAAAAAAATCCTACTGACCCTAAACTTTTGTACATTATATTAAATTTTAAAATATAAAAATAAATTTATATTTATATTCTATAAATTACTCCTGAGTCTAATTTCTATACAAAGATTTATTTTTTTTTTTTTTTTTTTTTAACAATCTTGGTAATTTCACATTTGATGGAGGACAGAAAATTTCATTGATTTGGGCATCCCTGAATGCATCTGATAATGAAGTAAAATGCTTTGCAAACTGTTAACTCAAATGCTTTTTGCCAAAAAAAAACAGTTGCCATTTTAAGAGGCTGGTGGATTTAGTATGGAATAGTTTGAAATAAGTCGTGAATGGAGAGCGCAGCACCCGAAGCCCGACAACAGGACTCAAATTAGAGTAGGATTCAGTTAGGCTGATCAGGGGTTTGAAAGATTCCCACCCCATACATTGCCTAAATGTTTTCATGGGTGAACAGGGGACATTGAGGCCCGTGTTATATCTTACAGCAAAGATGGGGAACAAACTTACTTTTATTCATCCTTTCCCACTCTTTCGGTTTTCCAGCGATCTGCAGACAAGGTTGCAGCACCGAACATGGATCTTGTAAGGAACCAGGTGGCTGCAAGTGAGTAATCTGCAATATTATTCTATATTTTTTGTGGCATTTCCTGCAAAAATGTACTTTACACTGTCACCAGGTTTATTTTGTCCTCAACCTTGCTCTTTAACATTTTGAGCCAAGCCTTGTTAAAGTGTGAAAGATGCAACAGTACAAGCTTTCACTGCAACTAGAGGCTCATGGTTAAATCTTGTTAGAATCCATGTGTCCTGCTTGACCTATCAAGGTCTGATAGCTCAAGCTCCGTTTCTGGTCCACAGACAATGAAAGCACAGATTACTGACATCCACCTCCAAGTATTCCAACATGGCTGGCGTTTAGCAGTGAAACGGTGTCAATAAGGCCATGTTGTAAAGACAACTGAAGCACAAAGCTATTTTTAGCCATTTTGCTTTTGTCTGGCAAGATGTTGAAGCCTTATCTACAAACCATCATCTGCCAAGTTCAATCTTTAATTGGGTTTTAAAGGGGTCATATGATGCGATTTCATTTTTTTCTTTCTCTTTAGAGTGTTACAAGCTCTTGGTGCATAAAGAAGATCTGTAAAGTTGCAAAGACTAAAGTCTCAAATCCAAAGAGATATTCTTTATAAAAGTTAAGAGTTAGCCACACCTACCTAAAACGGCTCGTTCGAACACGCCCCCACATATCTACCACACTATGTGGGAAGATTTGCATAACACCGCGAAACAATAATGTACAGTATGTGGAAAATAATGTGTTTTTTTTTACTTTAAACCGCATAAACACATTTCATTACACCAAATACACAAAATAATGTTCTTTTTAGCAGCATCATATGACCCCTTTAAAATGCACTGCTTATTTTACTAATGATGTATGAATTTGGCCACGGGAAGAGAAAGCGATGTGTATCTGTGTGTGTTCGTATACAGCTATAGCTCAGTGATTTATGAGTGCATAATAAATACTCTTTGTAACACTGATGCACATAAAAAATTTGTCAAACTAAGTGGCTTGTTTAATGTGTAATAAAAAAGCATGGTGGTTTATTCTATTGTGTTGTTTTCCAAGAGAACAGAATTTGAAGCAATTTTTAAATCCTTCCATAGCAGCAAGTTTTCCTTGACATTTTCTTGAGTTAGGTTTTGCTTCGTAATATGTACGATTGTAGCATGCATGGGAAAAATGCATAAACAAAGCTTTCTGAAGTTACTTGCTTCATCATAAAGGAATGTGCCATGTGTAACTTATTTGTGTTGAGTAGGGCATCGAGTTAATGAAAATTGAATTTCTTGCGCAACAAACTGATCTTCTGTTGGTTGGGGCAAGTCACGGCAGGTTTTGCATTGGGCTTTTTCTGGTTTTTCATCGGTTCGTTATAGGTGTTTGCATGTTTTCTGGTCAACAGATAGACGTTAGTGATGTTTTGTTACAAAGATCTTTTTTGTTTGAGTAATTCTCATCATTGTACCAGCTCTGAAAGCGTTCAAGATCAAGGCTGGATGTCTACGGAATGCAATGTATACTAAAACCTCAGCTCTTTGTTACATTTGGCATGATTATATCCCATTACCTATTCATCTCTCACTGAAAGCTTGCCAGAACACACAACCATGCAACTGTGCAACTGTTGTAACAAGAGCTCTTACTGTGCTAAATTGGAACCGCCGAGGCCTACGGTCGAGGTGAAAATGTTACTCAGCCATGCCGCTTTAATGCCATATTTTTGCTTTAATATCATTCAAAGTCACTTCCAAGACACTGCTGATGTGAAATAGGGTTTTGTGAATGTTTCTCATAGTCAAAATCTTCTTGCACGTTTAAGAATAGTTGTTTTTTATCACAGAGAGAGGTTTCCTCAACCACCGTGTTTATTTTTACAGCTGAACTGCCGCCTCAGGCTAATTGTTTTCTTTTTTCCCCAGAGGGCAGTCTGTTTTCCTGTGGCGCTCAAGTGACTTACTATCTCATCTGAATCCTTCTTTAAGGAGCAGGTTATCGCTCAGGCTGTTTAATTACTGCCATTTTAAGGGGGAAGTGTAGGGGAGAGCTATTGCTGAGCTGTTTTGGAGATGGCTTTTAATTACAGGCTTAGAGATATTCTGTGGCTGTAGATCTGACTCTGTTTTTTCGTTCCCTGGGCGGAGAAAGGCTACATGGGAACAGGAGTGAGAATGCAAAAGAACCCGCCATAAATACATTGGCCAATGGAGCGGTTTACAAACACAACCCCCCCCACCCAGATGGTCCGAGCAGTTCTGGGGCCAAGCCGCTCCGCTTTTATTGAGACAGAGTGTCCTGCCACAAGCTAATGTTAGTCTCTCTAAAAGACCCACTGGAGTTTTAAAGCTGCTGTTTGTTGTTTGCATGGCTTGGCATTAAGTAATCAGACAAGAAGTTGTCGGCTGTTCCCTTTTCCCAGTGGACTGGAGTGAACTTTTTAAACAGGGTTTATGAAAGGGTAACCTTTTAGCATTGGACGCCCTGAAAAACAACACTTTTCTCAAAGTTTTGATAAGTACTTTGAGAAAATGATGGCAAATTATGCTTTAGAAAATCACTACCCATTGTTTTCGTGTGGTGTTGTCGTTGTAACAGAACATACTTCTTCAGCCCTGACGCCTCTTGAGAAAATGAGAGAATTGGAAAAGCAAACTCATTCTAAAAGAGGTGTGGGTGAATACTAATAGTTTGTTTACTAATAGTAAACAAGAACATTTTCTTCTCTTTTTATCAAAGTAACGTCATTAAAGTAATATTATGTTGAAAATTATTTTGCACTGTTAATCTCGTCATGAAACTACTGACTTTGTTATTCATTCTGTCCATGATAACTCAACTCAGATGATAACTTCATCTCACTCAAATACATTCAGATGCAAAAGCCAAAAGTGCTGTCTGAAATTTTCTTCTAAAATGAGCATTTTTATGTTCAGTTATTTCACTTTAATTGCACATTATCATAACTAAAATGTTATTTGTGTTAACTCAAATTGTATGCCATTTTATTCAGAAAATAATGGGTAAAATGGAAAATCAAACTGAACTACATGTAGTGGGCATTTTGGTCTAAAAGGTCAAAATCAATATGATTAAAAAAAACTGTCAAAATTAATACTGTCACTATGCAGGAAATTCCTCTGGTATATATATACTGCCATTTAGTGACACTTGCAGTTTTTAGTGGTCGTTTAATTTGCATTTATAAAACCTTGCCTTAGTGTCTGTTTGTCTTTTTCAGGTGTCTGTACGGCTGGCAGGGTCCATACTGTGATAAGTGCATCCCTCACCCAGGCTGTGTACACGGAACCTGCGTTGAACCCTGGCAGTGCCTCTGTGACACTAACTGGGGTGGACAACTCTGTGACAAAGGTACTTTTTCTGTCTTTTATTCTATTTTTGTTTCCGAACATTCAATACTAATCCTGTTCTTACCTCTCAGATCTAAACTACTGTGGAACTCACCAGCCGTGTCTGAATGGAGGAACGTGCAGCAATACAGGGCCTGACAAATACCAGTGCTCTTGTGAAGATGGCTACTCTGGGGTCAACTGTGAACGAGGTGAGTCCGCCATGCTAGCCACACTTTCAAACATCACACTAGAGTCTGGTTCAGTTTGCAGATTGTGGCCAGAAACGTCTAAGTAGTCAGGAAAAGGTCTGTCTGACTGACATGAAAAGTGGCCATTCACACATTGTTTTGTTTTATGTGCTCTTTAGGTGTTGGTTAATCTGAAATAGTGATATTACAATAGTAAACCAATCACATATGGTGATTTTTGACCATTTTGTATTCAATATGCATCACAGTTTTTGAGGCTGAGGCTAGTTGTTTTGTGTTGCAAATGTCAGTATTGTGCTTTCTCAAGTGTTCTTTTTCCTGTTTCTTTGTTTTTATTGATCTCCTTATTCCATTTTAAGGTTTCCTTTTTGTATTTTGCATTTAAATATGGTGTGTTTCAAGTTTGCCAAGTTTACAAGAATTTTGATTTGAAGTTAATATTTGTTCTGGCCATCAGATTTCAGTTCCACAGAAGGAATTTCATCAAGTGTGCACTTACTGTAGCAATGAGTGTAAAAAAAATGTCATTCTACTGCAATGAAATATCTAAAGCATAAAACAGTGATGTATCGGTTAATGCACATTTTGAATATAATGAGAGAAAAAATTGTAAATTTTAGGGGTAGTCCCTGTAAAGGGTTGGGTTTGTAGCTTATCTACCCTTAAAAGGTGCAAATTACTAACTTAGAGTTGTATATGTACCCTTAGGGTACTACAATGAACATTTTAGGGGTAAATAAAGCAAAAATTTGTACCTTAGAGATTTGTACCTTTTTTCAGTGCGTGTGTGTGGTTTATTGTAGCAGTACTGCCCAAAAGTTTTATCATCTCTCCCTGTTTACGACTCTGAAACATAATGACACTGTAGCTGCTTGAAACTTGATACAAGGAGCAGTTTAGATGCAGTCATTTGAATTTGATCGCCTTGTTTAATGAATCTTAACAGTCATTATGCGCTGCTTTCTGTGTTTCTGTTGGCACAAGTCCATTTTATATACAATGCCATTTTGTTATTGACACCAAGTCAAAGTCTGCAGCAGTGTCATTGCATTCTGGTATAGCAAGATGGAAAAGGGTGTAGAGAGCCTATGGGGGATCAGATGATGTCAGACCACGGGCCTTAACTGTCTACAGTGTCAGGAAGGGCGCCCAGGTCTGCTAATCCTCTGTTATGATATGTCCTGCCAGTGAATCTCATCTGTTTTGACAGTCAGTGGTTGGATGGGTATAGTGATGAAATCTGCCAGATGGACCGTCATGGCTTTTTTCCTCCCCATCCTCCTCTCGGATTCATATGATCCAGATTCAAGCCCTCAGGGTGGTGACAATCTCCTGGGGCAGTGAAATCTTCCCCTATCCAAACCATTGGAGGAATCGTTCAGTCTTAAGCAGGAAGATAAAAGCTTAACTAGCTGTTAAGTTAAAGGGTTAGTTCACCCAAAAATGAAAATTAGCCCATAAATTAGTCACCCTCAAGTCATCCTAGGTGTATATGACTTTCTTCTTTCAGACGAATCCAGTCGGAGTTATATTAAAAATTGTCTTTGATGGGTCAGTCATGTAACTACAGTGCAAAGGTTAGATCAACATACTCTGGTCAGGCTCGAGAGCATATCAGACCTAATAGTTCACCCAGAAATGAATCCTCATGTAGTTTATTTCTTCTGTTTAACTAATTTGTATTTCAATATAATGATAATAAGGCTTTACAGGAGAGTTGTACGAGTTTGAGGGTAAATAATGGCAGATTTTCAGGTAAAAAAAATCAATAAAAACGGCAAACAAGTGATACTATATGCTTGCGTTCACAGCTGAACACGCCTGTCTGTCCAACCCTTGTGCGAATGGAGGGATGTGCAAGGAGACCAGTCAGGGTTACGAGTGTCACTGTGCAGTCGGCTGGAGCGGCCCATCGTGCGAAATCAGTAAGAAGGCGCACAAACACACTATGAAGAATATATCCAGCAACACTTGATTTGTCTAACCTGCTCTGATCTCACAGATGTGGATGATTGTACACCCAACCCATGCAAACATGGAGGCACCTGTCAGGATTTGGTTAATGGCTTCAAATGTACCTGCCCTCCTCACTGGACTGGCAAAATGTGTCTGATTGGTGAGAGATTAGTGAAGCAATTTGAAGTTTGACTTTCATCATGCTTTTAAATAGGAGTTAATTACACTTTTTTTTTTCCAAAGATGCCAATGAATGTGAGGACAAGCCATGTGTGAATGCCAAGTCATGCCACAATCTGATTGGTGGATATTTCTGCGAGTGTCTCCCTGGCTGGACGGGTCAGAATTGTGATATAAGTGAGTATAACAATCTCTATTTTTCTTTTTATCTCTGCATGTGCTTTTGTAGATTTCAATCTGCTGTTTTTGGCTTAAAAATTCAGACATATTTCTCTCAATTTCAGACATAAATGACTGTCAGGGTCAATGTCTGAATGGAGGAACTTGCAAGGTAGGAGATCTTCTGATGTTTTATCAATATACACTACTGCTCAAAAGTTTGGGGTCAGAAAGAAATTAAAACATTTATTCAGCAAAAGTGACAGTTAACTTTTATAATGTTACAAAAAAAAATCTATTTCAAATAAATACTGTTCTTTTTAACTTTCTATTCATCAAAGAGTTCCACAAAAATATCAACATTGATAAAAATATGAAATGCACCAAATCAGAATATTAGAATAAAGCAATAAGCCCCAAGAAGCCGTGGTTTACAGTGAATTTATAACAGCTAAGGGGTTGTGTTAGGCACAATGCAAAGCGGAGCAGCTTCACGGGGCTTATTGCTTTTATAAAATGGTTATTCCATATACGTAGTAAGGTTTCACAAAATAAAACAGAGCAAATAAAGTGTAATGATATTAATAAAAACATTATTCTTCCACCAAACAATGTAGTTCCTCAGAATCAGTTGTGGTTGCAACAAAGTGGTTGCCGAGCAACACACAAACGTAAACAAAGGTGTATGTTTGTAGAGTAATTTACAACAGCTTCGAACGTGGCTCAGCCAATCAGAATCAAGGATCGGAACTATCCATTTTATAATGATTTCTGAAGGATCATGTGACAGTAAAGTAATGCCTGAAAATTCAGCTTTGACATCACAAGAATAAATTACATTTTATTATATATTCATTTAGAAAACAATTATTAGGAATAGCAATAAAATTTCACAATATTTCTGTTTTTACTGTATTTTTGAGCAAACAACTGCAACCTTGGTGAAGATAAGAGACTTCTTTCAAAAACATCTTACTGACCCTAAACTTATGAATGGTAGTGTAATATTCAATATTAAATTTAATATTCTGTTGTTTCATTTAAGCAGGAAGGGGCTGGCATGTAAAGAGGCCAAGTACAGCTAGTTATTTTGTATGTGATGTTTAGTGATGGGTTTATCTGAAATCGGATATAACTGAGATCAAAGTGGAATGTACAGGTCTGCTCAAGGATATCCCTTTTAATTGCTTGTGACTGCTTCAGACAAAACTCTCGAGTCATTTTCTAAGGCTTAATGCCATGAACCTCTCAAACTTTGACAAATCCAGTGACTAGTTCATCTCCAGAAGGGCTTATTGTTGAAGACTAGAAACTGTAAACATCCAGAACAGAAACATGGCTGTGCCGTCTGAGGCTGACATATTGATACCATTCATTCTCAGGAGTGCTGCACAAAAAAATGTAAGCCTTCTAAGCTGAACATTTATTTTTGGGGGTTAGTGCCAGGAAAGTATGCCCATGATTATGGCACAGAGATGATTTTACCTTGGTCACTACACTGAGTTATTGTAGCTTTTTTTTTTTAAATAACGTTCTAGCTCTCATCTTTGACAGGATTTGGTGAATGGTTACCGCTGTCTTTGCCCCCCTGGCTATTCGGGTGAACACTGTGACAAGGACGTGGATGAGTGTGCTAGCAGTCCCTGCCTAAACGGTGGCCGGTGTCAGGATGAAGCCAATGGATTTCAGTGTCTGTGTCCTGCCGGCTTCTCGGGTCAGCTGTGTCAGGTGAGAGAATGTCCTGTTTTCTTTCCTGCCTATTTATTGATATAACTATCAGTCCAGTTGCTAAACTGGACACTTGATGCACCAAAAAAATTAATAAATAAATAAATCACTCCCATAAAGATGAACTGTATTGATATACATTTAAACGGTATAGCAGAATTTTGACATTTCTATTAGTACACACTATTGTTCAAACGTTTGGGGTTGGTAAGCTTTTTAATGTATTTGAAAGAAGTCTCTTATGCACTTGGATCAAAAATACATTAAAAACAGTAATATTGTGAAATAGTATTAGAATAACGGTTTTATATTTTGATATATTTTAAAATTTTATTTATTTCTGTAAATTTTCAGCAGCCATTACTCCAGTTTTCAGTGTCACATGATTCTTCAGAAATCATTCTAATATGTTAATGTGCTTTCAAGAAACATTTCTTCTTATTATTAATGTTAAAAACTGTGTTGCTTAATATTTTTGTGGAAGCCATAACTTTTTTCAGGATTCTTTGATGAATGGAAAGTTCAAACAGCATTTATTTGAAATATAAATATTTTATAACATTATAAATGTCTTTACTGTCACTTTTGATCAATTTAATGTATCTTAGCTGAATAAAAGTATTCATTTCTTTAAAAACGTTTAAATAGTGTATACCTTCATCCACCCAGCTGTAGTTGTAACCTGAAGAAAAAGAGAGAGACAAAGAAAGACGGGCTAGGTTTGAGACAGGTAGGGTTTGGCTAGCTCTATAAAATATTCTTCTATTTGTTTTTATTCTCCTGAGCGTTTTGGTGCGCTTTTTCCTGGCAGACGCTGTGTCGAGGTTGTTGAGGGTTGCTCTGTGTTTTCTAAGAATCCAAAAATGCCTGGATATCATTTTCCCCTCATCATTGAGCTCTTTTCTCCTCTTGTAAATCTTTCTCTGGTGTAGCTGGATATCGATTACTGCAAGCCCAACCCATGTCAGAACGGCGCGCAGTGTTTCAACCTGGCCTCGGACTACTTCTGCAAATGTCCCGATGACTACGAGGGTAAAAACTGCTCTCACCTGAAGGACCATTGTCGAACCACATCATGCCAAGGTGAGAAATCTCAGTCTCTGGGACGGATCCCGTCTCGGTATCTCTTTGTAAACCGCCCCTAAAACCCAGAGTAAGCTGATCTGCCAGTTGCATGCCATTGTTCAGCTGCTGAGTAAAACTAGATTACAGGCCCTTGGACTCTCCCACCACCTTCAGGGGGAAAGATGAGGAAAAATAACTCATATTTTGTTACATGAGGCTTTTTCAGGCTATGGTGAGCTGTTTGACAGTAACCTCCCTGGACACACAGCTCACATACACACACAGTCTCCTAAACACTTTCTCCATTCCCAAATCCTCCTGAACATTTGCCAGTTTCTTAACAGCTCTGTGTGTGTTCTTCGTGGTAATGACTTGGTGGGATTCTCTGCCTTGGATGTTTAAAAGTGTGTGTGTGTGTGTGTGTGTGTTTGAGGAGGGGCAAACCCCACAGCTAGATAAGCCCATCAAGTTTCTTTCAACTTTCAGGGCTTATGTGCATTAAATGGCCTCCTCATACACTCTTTCTGCAAAAGTAGATGTAAAAACTTAGAAACCCATAACTATTGAAATAAACTGGAAGAATGGCTAATGTGGGTTTAGTGTAGCTTTTATTTCACAATGAACCCAGAGTTTTAACAGCTGGGTTTCGTTCTTTCTCTGAAACTTTCACAGTGATTGACAGCTGCACTGTTGCTGTGGCATCCAACAGTACGCCGGAAGGGGTGCGATACATCTCCTCAAACGTCTGTGGTCCTCACGGACGCTGCAGGAGTCAGGCCGGAGGCCAGTTTACATGCGAGTGTCAGGAAGGATTCAGAGGCACCTACTGCCATGAGAGTAAGACTAAACATTATTATCGGATTATAGGCACGCACCGATATTACGGTTATTTTCATTTTACGGCCTGGTTTTAAAATTCCAGACTATTTTGTCCAAATACATTTTTATTTTTATGTTTAAAACACTAAAAACTAAAATCAGTTGTTTTAAATGCTCCGTGTGAATTTATGCATCATAATGTTACAAGTCTGATAAATGATTAATCAATCTGATATTTGCTAAAGGTTGCATTTAACAGTGTTATTAAGTTATTAGTGTTTTTGAAAATTAACTTTAAGTGCACTTTAGATGACAGCAAAGGTAATCTTAGTGTAAAAGTACAGAAAATGAGCTTGCACAATTAAAATTGCAATAACCAATCAATATCAACCACAATGAACAAAATCATTCATATCGGCTGATAATCAACTGATATATTGTGCATCCTTATCATCTATGTAGATGATCCTAAATTTTGTGGTGTCTATGGTCTTTTTTCAGATATAAACGACTGTGAGAGTAACCCATGTCGCAATGGCGGTACTTGCATCGATAAGGTGAACGTTTATCAGTGCATTTGTGCTGACGGCTGGGAAGGAGTTCACTGCGAAATCAGTATGTTCACTTGAATAGATTTTTCTCTGCTTTTGTTAAATGTTTGTGCTTCCTTAAGCTCATTTTCTTATTCTTTTCTCCCCATTTTTTCCAGACATCGATGACTGCAGCTTGAACCCCTGCCTGAACAAGGGAGCATGTCAAGACCTGGTGAACGATTTCTACTGCGAATGTAGAAATGGCTGGAAGGGAAAAACCTGCCACTCCCGTAAGAAAGACTATTTTTATGACCCACCCAGTTTGCCGAGTTTTTGTGTGAGCGTGTACATATGGAGTTATAAAATACTATTGGATCAACTGTAATTTCAGGTGATAGTCAATGTGACGAAGCCACATGCAATAATGGAGGTACATGCCATGATGAAGGGGACATCTTCAAATGCAGGTGCTCACCTAGCTGGGAAGGAGCCACATGTAACATAGGTCAGTTTGGGTGACGCCTATTCACTTGCTCTATCTTAGAATGTGATACAGCTCGTGTGAATCAAGCCCTTGCAAAAATATCATATTCCCACAAACCCCTTTAGCACACTTCTTGCTGTAAAGTCATACTTAACATGAAAATGCACTGTGCAATGTCGGAGCAAGCAGTTGCAAGCTACAGTACAACTGTGCAGCAAATAATCTGGCTACAAGTATTTTTGTGAGTGCTTCAGAACCTTTTAAACTGATTCTTTCTAGAATATGACCACTAAATTTCAAGCTCAGGGGTTTTAAAACTTTATAATACCAAGGACCCCCAAATTTGATCACTTTGCAAAGTACCCCCCTTCTAAAATGTGGGGGAATTTAAACAATTGACTTTTATGTTGTTGTTGTTGTACTAAAGCCAAAAATATATTACAATTTCATCTGGAAACTATTATCTGCATTATAAGAAGAAATTTTCATTTAAATGTATTGCTATAGCACTGTATTTCCAACCAATCATTAAATGAAATAGTAGTAATGGTTATGTAAATTGTGAAATAATGTGAAATATAAATTATGTAATATAAATTATATAAAATATAGTCATATACAAACATTTTATAACAATTTATCTTTTTAACACTTTTTTTTTAATCACTGAAATTTTCCATGGCCCCTTGAATATTCAGAAACTGTTTTATGGTTTAAAATGTAAACTAAGAAGAAGTTGCTCTGCAAAATAGGGGGAAAACACTGTTCACATTCAATCATTCTAGCTCACAGACTGAAATCTCTCTCTCTTTCTGTCAATGTATTGGCTGCAATTCGCCTCAAATAGCACGATCTGTAAAATAAACCCATCAGATTTTGGGACAAGCATTTTTGCAGATTTCTTTGATGCAGAAAATATCATATCTGGCGTACGGTCGGCTCCAATTCTTTGATGGGAAATTTAGTTGGATGGAGTCTTGAGAAATGTTGTACTTGGTAATACTTCAAGACGTAGCCGGTCCATTTTAAGTGTGGCAGTCTTGTTGTGGTTGCACTCGTGTTGCTCTGTTCAGTTCAAAGCATTCTGACCTCTCTTGTGGCTCCTCTGCAGCCAAGAACAGCAGCTGTCTGCCCAACCCATGTGAGAACGGAGGCACCTGTGTGGTCAACGGCGACTCCTTCACCTGTGTCTGCAAGGAAGGCTGGGAAGGATCCACCTGCACCGAGAGTGAGTACCGCAGTACTAACTTCCTAGGTAGATTTAAAGTGGAAGAGGGAATAGTTTTACTCATAAAAGTTAATTTTTCAACCCTCATTTAGTCTGAGAATAAAGCAGGGATCCATTTTCTTGGCTTTGTCTTGCTCGTTCTTTTCCATTCTTTCTCTAAATCCACCTCACCCTGGCTGGACATTGTCAGCTGCTGCCAGCTATGAAGGAAAAAACTTAAATGAGGGAAAGTGGAGACAGACGTCCCCCCCATGTGAGAACGGAGGCACCTGTGTGGTCAACGGCGACTCCTTCACCTGTGTCTGCAAGGAAGGCTGGGAAGGATCCACCTGCACCGAGAGTGAGTACCGCAGTACTAACTTCCTAGGTAGATTTAAAGTGGAAGAGGGAATAGTTTTACTCATAAAAGTTAATTTTTCAACCCTCATTTAGTCTGAGAATAAAGCAGGGATCCATTTTCTTGGCTTTGTCTTGCTCGTTCTTTTCCATTCTTTCTCTAAATCCACCTCACCCTGGCTGGACATTGTCAGCTGCTGCCAGCTATGAAGGAAAAAACTTAAATGAGGGAAAGTGGAGACAGACGTCCCCCCCTTTCCTCAAGCCCACCGCTTCTCTTTCTTTTTTTTCCTCGATGTGCCTTTCTTATGTATTGTTGTGCACCTCTCACTCTGTGAGAACGGAGAAACCTGGAGTCCTAAAAATGAAGAGAGAAGAAAAGCTGGAGACAGCGAGTCAGTTAGTAACCGAGCAATCAGCGACTCTGCCAAACTGGACGCCCACACGAGCACACAGACGCACACGCACTCCGACACAAGCTCTGACATGTTGACTGTTGTGTTTGTTCTTATGTGCTCACATGGGTGTGAAGTGAATCAAACCCTCTTCTCTCTCCCTCTCTCTCTCTTTCTCTTTCAGATACCAACGACTGCAACCCACACCCATGGTAAGTCCTGGCAAAACATTTACGCACACAGCCTGCCGCTGTAAACAGGCCAGTACAGCTGTGCCGCACTTTCTCACACTCTCTCAGTGCTGGGAAACAGGCACTCCCATTGCTTCTGTCATTCCAAGGGTGCGTTAAGCTCGCTGCCTATTGTGCTTTTGACATCGGGTTCATCTGCTCGAGAAGTTGTCTAAGCAAGATTCTGAATTCACAGTAACATATCCCAGCAAAACAGATTAGCATGAGTTCATTTGATAAGGATTTTGTCATTTGGAATTAGGGGCCACTGATAACAGTGAACTGATAAAATGCACTTATAATAATTGGATTTACCAGTTTTTGCATAGTTGTAAAAGTTGTTGTTACATGCAAGCTGTAACAGATGTTTCTTATTAGTAGACAGTTTGTACGTCTTTGATTTGAATCATTTTGTCACTTTATCAGTGAGAGTCTGACATTACAGTTGGAGATATTTGGGATATTTTGATATATAAAATAATTTTGTAGCAAATTTATAAAGTTATACCTTAACCAATTTTATTCATTTATGTATCATTTATCTATTTATTTTAATTAATATTATGTTGATTCCATTTGTTTTTTTCTTTTATTTACTGTATATAAAATTAAATGTTTATTTAATTTTTTTGTATTTTACTTTATATTGCTTTTTATTCATTTTATATAATATTGTTTATTCATGTTATTTTATTCATTTGTCATTTTATATTATTTTTTAAATATTTTATATTATGTTTGTTATTATATTTATTTTATTTTTGTTATTTGCTTTTATGCTTATTTTTATTTTCCTTTATTCATTTTATTTTATGATTTTTATATTCATTTTTATTTGACTTTTTATTGTTATTTTATTTTATTCGATTAGATTTAAATTTTTATTTAATTCATTTTATATCAAACAATTTTTATTTAAATTTTTAATATTTATTTATTACTTTTTCCACTTTAGTTGACCAAACTCAAAGTTTGCTCACTGTCAGCCAACAGCTCTTATACAGTATGTCAACATGCCAGTTTTGACTCTCCTTTGGTGCTTGACTAATGCTGTTTTTGGACCCTGTTTGTAATGCTGCAATGATGCCTGAACCGAACGGTGTCTGAACTTCTGTCTTTCTCTCTCCATAGCTACAATAGCGGGACGTGTGTGGATGGTGAAAACTGGTACCGTTGCGAGTGCGCTCCGGGTTTCGCCGGGCCAGACTGCCGCATAAGTGAGTGTTAGATGACGCCTGATCCTCTTGGCTGTGAGCCCTGTAAATGTGCAACACAACTCTCCAAAAACAAACAGAGCTGGAGCAAAATGCACGGTCTAGCCACCCAATTAGCCAGCCCTCTGGGCAGAATGCCAACAGCCCAGCGAGCAGCGTCCTCACATTCTGCAGCACTGATGTTCACGGCCCCTCGGGAGAAATTGACTCGCAGTGACCGAAAGCCAATCAGCCTGGTTATTCAGCACTGATTACAGAGCTCGATTTGCTCTTTGAAAAGCTTTCATCTGGCTACATGAGACATAACTCAGGCTTTACTGTTTGATGCACCCAAACCTGCAAACGAGCTTATGACGTTAATGTCAGCTGAGCCTAAGATGATATAGTCCATCAGGACAGGGTCTTTGGTCATACTTTCTGATCTCGCCTCAATCAAAATGATCTCTTTGGGTACATTTATCTCAATAAGCAAGACGGCATGAGTTTTGTCTTGTCTCAAGCAAAAAACAAACCTTAATTCAAGATATTCTTGGAAAACAAGCCTTAAACATCTTAAGCAGTCTTGATTATTAGGTAAATTTATTTCATTTGTAACAATATTTCAATGTTTTTACTGGGAAACAAGACCATACCTGTTGCTATTCATGCGATAGGAATGTTTTAGGACTTGAAAAGTTCAAAGCATGATTCCTAACAGATTCTCTTCATTCCTTCAGATATAAACGAGTGTCAGTCTTCTCCCTGCGCAATTGGCTCTACCTGCGTAGATGAAATCAATGGTTATCGCTGCCTTTGTCCGCCTGGAAGAACAGGACCAGAGTGTCAAGAAGGTAAGAGTCATATAAGCTTGTGCAAACAGGCTACACACCACTTATTTCTTATTGAAAAGAACATCAAGACCTGCATTAGCATCTCCCAAACCATTGCTTTCCTACAAAGCAGTGATATTGTTGACTTAACAGTTTCAAAGTTGCCAAAAAATTCTCCTTAGTTTGAGGGTTCACATCAATTTGATGTACTTGGGCTGCAATGAATGTGACAAAAGAAACAAATAGAAAATATACACACTAAATAAAAATGGAAATGCTTGAATTTTTACTCAAGAAGATCACACCATACCAACTCCTTTCTTGCCATGTCATAATGTTCTGTTGATGTCGTTCACAGTCATTGGGAGACCCTGTATTGCTAACGGACAAGTAACTGCTGATGGTGCCAAATGGGAGGAAGACTGCAACGTTTGCCAGTGTCAAAATGGAAAGATTCATTGCACCATGGTAACTTAGCTGCCACTGCATCGTATTCTTGAGGCATTTACTAATACTTCTCTTAATTATGCAATCAAAAATGCCTATTTTTTGGCTCTTTTGTTCTTCAGATGTGGTGTGGACCAAAATCATGTCGGGCAGGAAAGGCCAGAAGTGGGTGTCCTGCAGGCCAATCCTGTGTTCCCATCAAAGAAGAGCACTGCTTTGTCAAACCCTGTCCTAGTCTCGGAGAGTGTTGGCCCCCTGCACCCCCTCCACCCTCCAAATGCCACGCCAGCTTCTCTTACCAGGACGACAGCTGTGCCAACATCACGTTCACCTTTAACAAGGAGAACATGCCTCAAGTGAGTCATACTTTCAGAGGAGAGCGATTGAATTATGAGCTTTTGAGCCGTTTTCCCCCTTCTCCAAACGTCTCCTCCACCCTTCTCTAATTCGGTGGAGAACTGAGAGCGCAGTGGGGCGTGAAAGATCAGGTTCTCTTCATCTAGGAGACAACGTTCCTCATGGGTGAAGTTTTCCATGCTGGTTGGATTCTCACAAGCTTTGTTGTCATATCCAAACACTTTTTCTTCAGATGAATGAAAGCGCAAGAAATACATTTTGTACAATAAACTCTGGCTCGGTATCCCTTTCCGAACCAAGACATTCCTGAGCTAATATCCCGTAACGGTTTAATACTTAGGCAGTCATTGTTGAGAAACACCGCTGGCGGCTGCCCACCAGCCAGCCCAAATTGCTGAACGAGAGACAAGCGAGTGCAACAAAGGACAGTGACAAGCATAAAAAACATGTGGTTCTTCTACTAATGGGCTACAGAAACTAGGGAGAAGTGTATAGGATTAATATTTGACAGGGGGAGAACCTTGCAAACTGTTTCATTTTTTAACTTTCTCCCAACCGACTAAATCTTTCATTTTGGACTTTTCGCACTGCCCACACTGTCTGCTCCGTTATTGGAGACAAACCTAAAAACCGAGAAGAAGTTTTGGGGATTTAAATGCATATTGCGCTAATTATTTAGTTGGAAAACGCTTAAATTTGAACAAACTCGTAATAGATCTTTCTGTTGCGACAGGGCTTGAGTGTGGAGCATGTTTGTAATGAGCTGAGGCACTGGTACCTGCTGAAGAACCTGACGGAAGAGTATGCTGTGTCCATCACCTGTGAGCCATCTTCTTCAACCAGCAATGAGATTCACATCAGCATTGTAAGTACAGCTTTTCAACAAGTTTAAATGGGTCTAAAATAGCATTTAAAGATGTTTTTAGAGGGCCACCTTTAGTTCCAACCTGTTCCAACACACCTGACAGGAAGTTTCTAGTACTCTAGAAGATCAGCTGGTTCAGGTGTTTCTAATTAAGAGAAGGTGGACACCACTTATTTAAATAAAAAGTTTTTTGTCATTTACTCACGCTAATGTCATTACAAACCTGCATGACTGTGCCAACATCACGTTCACCTTTAACAAGGAGAACATGCCTCAAGTGAGTCATACTTTCAGAGGAGAGCGATTGAATTATGAGCTTTTGAGCCGTTTTCCCCCTTCTCCAAACGTCTCCTCCACCCTTCTCTAATTCGGTGGAGAACTGAGAGCGCAGTGGGGCGTGAAAGATCAGGTTCTCTTCATCTAGGAGACAATGTTCCTCATGGGTGAAGTTTTCCATGCTGGTTGGATTCTCACAAGCTTTGTTGTCATATCCAAACACTTTTTCTTCAGATGAATGAAAGCGCAAGAAATACATTTTGTACAATAAACTCTGGCTCGGTATCCCTTTCCGAACCAAGACATTCCTGAGCTAATATCCCGTAACGGTTTAATACTTAGGCAGTCATTGTTGAGAAACACCGCTGGCGGCTGCCCACCAGCCAGCCCAAATTGCTGAACGAGAGACAAGCGAGTGCAACAAAGGACAGTGACAAGCATAAAAAACATGTGGTTCTTCTACTAATGGGCTACAGAAACTAGGGAGAAGTGTATAGGATTAATATTTGACAGGGGGAGAACCTTGCAAACTGTTTCATTTTTTAACTTTCTCCCAACCGACTAAATCTTTCATTTTGGACTTTTCGCACTGCCCACACTGTCTGCTCCGTTATTGGAGACAAACCTAAAAACCGAGAAGAAGTTTTGGGGATTTAAATGCATATTGCGCTAATTATTTAGTTGGAAAACGCTTAAATTTGAACAAACTCGTAATAGATCTTTCTGTTGCGACAGGGCTTGAGTGTGGAGCATGTTTGTAATGAGCTGAGGCACTGGTACCTGCTGAAGAACCTGACGGAAGAGTATGCTGTGTCCATCACCTGTGAGCCATCTTCTTCAACCAGCAATGAGATTCACATCAGCATTGTAAGTACAGCTTTTCAACAAGTTTAAATGGGTCTAAAATAGCATTTAAAGATGTTTTTAGAGGGCCACCTTTAGTTCCAACCTGTTCCAACACACCTGACAGGAAGTTTCTAGTACTCTAGAAGATCAGCTGGTTCAGGTGTTTCTAATTAAGAGAAGGTGGACACCACTTATTTAAATAAAAAGTTTTTTGTCATTTACTCACGCTAATGTCATTACAAACCTGCATGACTTCCATTCTTCTGTGGAACACAAAAAAGATAAGATAATGGTTTTTGTTTTTTTTCGTACGTTGAAAGTAAATGGAGTCCTCCAGAGTTGTTTTGGACCCAAATGACTTCCATTTTATGGACAAAACAGTTGACACATTCTTCAAAATATCTCAAGAAAGGCAGAATTTGTAGAAAAGTAAATTTTTTGTGATATTTATGAGTCTACGTTTCCTGTGCAGTCCACAGAAGAGCCCAGGTCGGACAGGAATCCTATTAAAGATATTACGGGTCAAATATTCGACTTGGTGAGCAAGCACAATGGTAACAGCACCATCATCAAAGCCATCACCGGCGTACGAGCTCACCAGACACCAAGTCCCAAAACTGGTAAGCAGCTCTCCATCACACCGGACATTGGGTCCATCTTTGCTGAAAAGTAGTCAAAAATTAAAGTATTAAGGTTTCCACAGTCTGGGCCAGTCGTGTTGAACTGTCTGTTCTTGGTCTGTCTTGCTTGAGCAATGTTTAACTGTCAAAAGAAGCTTTAAGTCATTGAAGCCATGGAATGTTACATCAGCTCTGCCAGTTGGATTGAACTTCAATTAGACATCAGGGCCCTCTTGCATGCTGTTCATCAAAAATGGCGTCCTATGTTTCTGCCAAGCTGCTAAGTCTCTTCCTAACTTAAGAGACCTTTAAACCGTGTGAGCCAGCCTCTGTAGATTGGGCCAGGGGACCGGGTATAAACAGTGTATGTCTTGTCCAAAATAGGAAAATGTTGCTGTTGAATTAAAGTGTGGATTATTTTTTCCTACACCACTTCTGTTTTCAAACTCCAAGGTTTTCCCATTTCCAATGCACAAATGTTCACCAGTAAATAGACATTTTAATAGTTTCCCTTGCAGTCTTCTCGTTGTCCCAAATACTGACTAACTGTCCCTCTGGTTCTTCTTCTGTCCCCAGACTACCTGGTTCCTCTGCTCAGCTCCATCTTCATCGTGCTCTGGATCCTCGCCCTGGCCTCAGCCTTCCTGTGGTGCATTCACCGCAGGCGGAAACAGAACACCCACAGCAATGCAACTACCTCAGCTACAGAGGACAATACCACCAATAACGTGCGTGAGCAGCTCAACCAAATCAAGAACCCCATCGAGAAACACGCGGCCCACGGCGTGACCATAAAAGACTACGAGGGGAAGAACTCCATCATTGCCAAAATTAGGACGCATAACTCCGAGGTGGAGGAAGAGGAGATGGACAAACACCTGCAGAAAGCGCGCTTCACCAAGCAGCCGGCCTACACGCTGGTGGAGCGGGAGGAGCGCGCGCCCAACAAAAACCCAAACTGGACTAACAAACAGGACAACAGAGACTTGGAGACGGCACAGAGTTTAAACAGGATGGAGTATATCGTATAGCAGGCAGCTGTGTTGCCGTGCGACCGAACCCCTGTTGCACTTACCGGTCATTTGGCAGGGTCTCGGGGGGGGTTGTGCTTCTTAAAACTGTTGCGTCGTGTTCTGGACTCCAAGGCTGTTATTTGCCTAGAATCCTGTGTTAATTTAAGTTTTGACAAGCTGGCTTCACACTGGCAATTGTAATAGTTGCTGTGGACGGCTGGAAAACCCAAATGCTGCATTTCGCATCCAGTGTTTTCCTTCGTAAAAGAAAAAAATTGTAAAAAAAAATAATAATAATACACATTTCAAATGTCTATATTTTTGTGGATACGTTTGAGTATCTTAGTGAGTCTGAAAAGTTTGCATAGTGTTTGCAAATAGTTTTAAGTGTTATTTTCGTTCATAATGACAATGCTCTCACAGCTAAAGTAGTTGTTTCTTCCTTATCCAGTGGCTGTGTGGAAACTGTCTCTAGTTGGTTTTATTTCTAGTTCTGAACTGAAAGTGCCTTCACAGCTAAGCACCACAGCAATTGTCGGAAATGAGTATGAAAAATGGGGGGAAAAAAGCAAAAAAATTATTTATTTTTCTTTTCTTGGGGCGGGATAGGTCGGTCAGCTTTCTGCTGCCAATATGAAGAATTGTGTCAATTTAGTGTAGATATGTATATTTTTTTTTTAATTAATCACTGTGTATATTTGATTTATTAACTTAATAATCAAGAGCCTTAAAATATCATTCCTTTTTATTTATATGTCCTGTCTAGTTTTGAAGGTTTTGATAGCTTTGTAAGCCTATAGCTTTGTTCGGACGACATTTGCTTGATGTTTCACATACCAAAATTTCAGAGAGAAAAAGCAGTCTTATTTTGTTTTTGTTTTTCAAAAAACAAGATTGGCATTTGTGTGCCTGAGATTTTTTTTTTTTTTATATACATTGTCAGATATTTCAATATTTGAAACTTCTATTGTATGTATTTTGGCAATTCTTACTTGCTCAATGCAGGTAATGTCAACATCATGACTGCTTTTTGTTTGGATACCTGGTGGCAGACACATTGCTTGCCACGGATGAAAAAGAAAAAAATAAATCATTAAAAATATCTAAAATAAAAGGGAACACGAGTCTTTTAGTTGCTTGTTGGTAAACCTGATTCACACAAATCATTTCTCTTCCGCTTCGGTTTGCAGTATGTCATAAGCTAGGCTGTGAATACTTGAACAGTAGGGGGCCAATGGAAACACTGTAGATGACTGCCTTGCTTTCAGGAGTCCATTTCTATTGCTGTGCACATGTAGTGTTCTTTTCGTTATTCTTTTATATCGAGGCTCTCTAAAACACCAAACTGACAAGCTTATCACATTTGTAGATCATGGCAATATTCAATGTTCATATTTGACCTTATTGTAAATTTGTTTTTTAGTTTGTTCCTGGCAATATTTTTTGAATGTTATATTTATTAAACATTTTGTATAAAAGAAAAATTAAATGTTTGTTTTCGATTTGTGCTGCTTTGGGAGGAGCTGAATCCTCTCTTACGCTGACGTAATGATATGTGAGGCACAAGGTCTGTCTAAATGTCTTTTCGTGGTACAGCCGTGCGGGTCTGATTGTACTCTGTACATGTGAAGACTGACGCTGCGACTGAACTTCCCTCCCTAAATGATGAATGAGGTATTCAGTAAAATAACTGCAGGGCAAAAGGCAAAGCTTATGGTGATGAGAAGAAAAAAGGGGTTTCCCAATGTTTTCCAGTTATGTATCATGTAAATTCTGTCATCATTTACTCACCCTCAAGGTGTTTTGTTCATATATGATTTTCTTTCTTCTGTGGTACACAAAAAAGGCATTTCGATAAGTAAGGTAGCTGTTTCCCATGCATATTGAATGAGGACTGGAGGTTTCACAGTGCAAAAAAAACACAAAGACATCATCAAAGTGGTTCATACAACTCATGCCCTATATTCAAAGTCTTCTAAATCATGTGATAGATTTGTGAGAAATTTAAGTGAACATTCACTGAAGATTTTCTTATAATTGGTGAAATAAGTCCAATTTGTGAACGAATCATTCTTGTAAGTCACATCTTTTCAATCACTCAGTTGATCCAGTTCATAAAACCTGTCTGAATGATTTATGAATCAGACTCGAGATAAACTCGCTGACTCAATTTGGTCGCAGCAGAGGAACATTGGTGAAAAACAACTTAAACTTCAGTCTGTTTCTCACACAAAGGCTTTTTATAACTTCTGAACACTTTGGATATAATGCACAAGTAACTTTTATGATTATTTTATTGCGCTCTGTGTCATTTCTGAAGCTTGAAAGAATCCATCTCCATTCATTGCAATTACCTCAAAATGAATGCTCAGCACAGCCTCCAGAATTTCCTCTTGATGTTCCACAGAAGAAAGGAAGTTGAACGGGTTTGGAATGGGTTGATGACATTTTCTTTTATGGTTAAAATTGTTCTTTTTAAATTGACAAACTGAAAATTCTAATTTGTAAATGCATGTTATTATCCTGGCCTTAATCAAAATGTCATAACTCAATTTTATCCTTGGTGATATATGCTGGATTTCTCCAAGCATTTAGTCGACTTAAAACCCAACCCATCTCAAAATCTAATTAACAACCAATAAACAGACCTAAATTTTTCCCAACCTACGTTAAATTTTTCTTTTTCAGTAATCTGTTACACTTGAATGTAAGTCACAATATGGAAAAGATCTGTTGCTACTTCAGTTAACCTCGCAACTTTTAAGCTTCAATTTGCTAAAGGTTGATCTCTAACGTTACAGTATCTGAGCACTAGATAATTAAAAGTCAAGAAATCAGAATTCCTTTATTATTAATGGTTAAGTAATAGTAAAACATGAGTTATATTGTAAGGCAGTACAATAGATTGCATTCAGTTTTTAAGGTATTCCTTGGACATTTAGTTCACAAGTATCTCAATGCAAACGTTTGATTAAGAACAAATGGTTTGCTATCTTTAACGATTCTAATTTCATGACATAACATCAGAATATACAGTGAAATATGTTGTAACCAGAAGCATTCCGACTGCCACGTTATGGGATTATTGCTGCACAATGTTTGTATATTCTGATAACGTTTTTATACTAAATACATAAACATTGAGTGATTTGTAAGCACGGCTGGAAAATAAAGCATGTGACTCAACGAATTTATGTCCATACATATAATCATCCTGCCATCACACACTAAATCAATGTCGACTGCACCCGTGATTAGCCAAATATCGGACGCGAGCGCCACTACAGCGTTCTATAGCGTTGTCAGTCATCCCGCAGCAGACTTTTAGCTGTTACGAAAAGCAATAACACATTTACAAATAATAACCGCAGGGAGACGACAGTCGGCTCCAACGGTGAAAACCCCTGATCGCTTAAGGAGCGCGGTGTATGTGAGAACACAGCAAAATCAATCATGTGCTCAGCTGAAGCTGGAAGAGTGGAGATTTCAGACGGATGGAGCCAGAGATTTGGGCTTGAAGCCACAGTGTGCTCAACGGCTCCCGCTAGTCTGAAATACAAATCTTACGCCGAAAACGCAAACTGCATTTGTGTTTTTGTTTAGAGTGAAGTTACTGTTTGCTTGAGTTCCTTTTAAGTTGTTGCTAGTGGAGTCGATTCAAATATTTGAGAGCTTCTTGGTAATCTAATTCAAGCGTTTGAGCAGTTTTGTGTTTTTTACTTTAAAGGGAGAAAGGAAGTACTGTATGTGCAGAGACTGTGTGTGGTGAACTCTTGTGCAACCGCCGCTGACAGACAGTATTACAGTAGAAGTGTGTACTGTAACATCCATCGTGGTGGCGTCAGACATCCTCTCTCGTTCTATGCCGCTGCGCCCCTCAGGACTTCTTGAGCCGGCGTAATCGGGATGTTCTGGGCTCACCCCCCTTCCTTCCCTCTCTGGCGACAGATCTGGAACTAATAGAGAAGCCAGAGGATACGGGTTTGACGGATAGGCCTCTCAAACTTGCAGCCAGCCCGCTTTGGTTAGTCTGTGAAATCTCAGGCTGGGGACTGCAAACGGAGTCTGCAGCGGCAACGTCAGAAGAGGGATTGTTGGAATCGCTTGACGCTGCAGGCTCTCCAAGACGAGATCTTTTTGTCTTTTGGCGGTCAGCGTCTTCTCCTGAGCTACTTGGGGTCCGTGGTCGTCTCTTCGGACCGGTAGTGTCAAGATGTGGTTCGGTGATCTTTTTACTGTTACTTAATTTAGATGACAACACGGCTTTCCCTTCCTCCAATGACTCACCCGTGAGAAAGCTGCTAGACGATATGGTGACAGGATGACATGCTTCAGAAGACCCCTTCTCAGCTTTGTCCGCTTGATCATCTTGGCGTTGTTGGGGTTGGACTTTAGCCTGCCTGGCACTGGAGGAATAAGGAAAGGTTACATGAAGATGTAGATGGATCACCGCAAGGTATATCAGAACAGTACTTACATCTTCTGAAGAATGGCTCTTTTTGTTGCTGTGGAGATGGGTAATGGATCTATCATCTCGCCAGAGCCAGAAAAATACTTTGAATGGCTTGGTTCACTCTGTTGAGACAAAAAAATTTCAATTTAAATCTTTAAATTCGAGATGGTGGAAATAAATCTTCAATATAAATCAATTTATCATTCATTAGATGTTGTCTATGTAGGCATCTCATTAGGTCTTGGAACAGAGCTACTCTCTCAATACCTGACAGAAACTATGAAGTCAATTATTTGTTTTTGTTGTTTTAAAGGACTCTAAGAGAAGTCCATTGTACTGACATGAATTAACTATATTTGGTGTAGCCATGGGAACAAATCCATGGGATGTTTTGTTTTGACGGCCATACCCAAGAGACCAAGCAAAAACACAAGCTTGTGTTGAACTGCCAGTATTCAGAGGAAGCTCTCTTTTTTCCCTTTTCTCTGTCTTGGTCATCAAATTTCTGATCATGCTTATCAAAATATAAATATTTGCTTTATTGCGGCTTTGCTTTTTTTTTTGCTTGTGCATATTGTATATTTTATGTGTTTGTGTGTTAATATAAATAATGTCAAAAGTACCAATTTGGTTGAATGTGTTACATCTTTATGTTTGTTGTGGTATTAAAATTGATACTAAGAATCACATAAAAACATGCCTTTTAAATGCTGATGTGTGGCAGATTTGAGACTCAAGCTAAGAGATCAGTAAATACACTCTCATTGAGCAAAACATTTTTTGTAGTTATTTAAAACTCTGTGTGTGTGTGTGTGTGTTCATTACGACCTGGCTTGACCACCTGAATAGTTTGACAAACACTTTGAAGTCCTTGTTTTAGTACTAGCCATGCTTAACCGGGCAGCTCTGAGAAGAATAAAGAGACGAAGCAGCTTATTGAATCCCACCAACATACACCTTCAACAGTCCTAATGAAGCTCTATCAACAGAACAATCCTTCACTGAGCAAGAACAGAGCAGGTGCTTGTGTCCGCAGTCTTTAGGGGCACAGGATCATTGAACTGCGATTAACTGACACAAAACAATCATTCCAGTCCAAACTGATTGGATTTCATAAAAGTGTAGGTTTACCAACCGGCCTCTGAACAGGTTCAAGATATATAGGCTATTAGTTCTATTTTAGGAGCAAGCAGCCAGATAAGCACAAGGTCCGTCAAGTCATTAGAGCGAAATGAGGAAATTGCAGAGGGATGTGTTTCATATGAAGTGCACAGACGCTGGCCTGAAGAAGAGGCCTCTATATACCCATACTTAATGCCTTGTTTTATAGAGAAAAGTGTTGTGGCCTAGTGGATAAATATATGGGATGATAACCAAAAGGTTGTAGGTTACCCTACAGTGCATGTGACTGTGATGTCAACAACAATACAACAAATATAAATGGAAACAAGGAAGACAGACTGACCCGCTATCCATTTTGTTAATCTTTGCGCTGAGGCGTTGTGAGCAAGTCATGCTGAATGAGTTCATCAATAAGTGGATGAATCAAGGAAGGTGCACCTACTGCAAGCAGGAAGGTTACTTTGGAAATGTAATAGGTTACAGATTACAAGTTACCATACTTAAAATGTAATAAGTAGTGTAACTTTTCAATTACTTTATTAAAGTAATGTAACTGATTACATTTGATTACTTTTTGATTACTTTTCTAAATATCCTGCAGCATGTGACTGTGGCACAACCTGTCAGATGACTAGTATTGCTATGCTCTTTTGTTTAATATTAAATGAAGACAAAAGTATTATAAAATCTCACAAGATAAGATCTTTGTTGCAAGCCAAGTCTTTATTTATTTGTACTCCTGTAGCTCAAACAGTATAGTATGGCATTAGCAATGCCAAGGTCATGGGTTCAATTCTCAGGAAATGCATGAACAGAAAAAAGTAACCTTAAACTTAAACCTTGAGAGATGCTTTGGATAAAAGTATCTGCCAAATGCATAAATGTACTTTTATTTGCAAACAATGCAGCGTTTCCCATGTCAAGACAACAAAATAATTTCTTATGGGAAAATTGGTGCTAAATAGAAATGGAAGCCACGGTGGGTCTTTTAGTAAATGCAATAAACTATTTGCGGTTTAGAGCAAAACACTCTAAAAAAAAGTGCAGATGAACTTTTACTAGCAATCAACAGCAGATGCCTTGTGTCTGGGAGTTTGTCAAACAGCTCTGGGAAGTTAACAGCAGCAAATCATTTTGACATTTCAGAATGCCCAAGCAAAATTTGAGATGCTTTGTGCTAATTTTATTTGAATCACATGAATTTTTGATCTAATTTTCTAATTTTTTTTTTTTGCAAGTGTATGTTTTTATGTGCATTTTATGTCCAAAATTCACACTAGTTGGCAATATGGCCAAAGTCTTTCATCACAATATAAGTCTCTTTTCACAATTACGTTATTTTTGCTAGAAATAAGGTTATAATGGCAAAATTGCCAAAAACAATAATGCGTGAGTATCGAATTGAATTCTTTTGCATCTCATTGCGCTTGAATGGATTAAAATCACTTGAAACATTAAACTGGCAAAAATGCATGAACAGTATAAACTTTTGTGATAACACAACACCTCACAAGAACATAACCGCAACAGAAACAATAATAAAACATTTATACAGTTTGTCAAGTTTCTACCAGTTTATCATGTCTACCGGTATATGACCCATAAGTCACACAAAAAAAACATGGAAGGAAACCACAGCCACAGACAGAAAGAGCCAATCCCGTCAAAGCTCTTTTCCCACAAGCTGTTTGAAACCAGCAGGTTTAGCAGGACTACACATAAATCAGTGCTGCTTCACTCTAAATGGGCTGATCAATAACTAGTGGGAAGGTTCACTTTAAGGTGCAGGGAAGGGTAATGCATGGGAAGATATGAGAAAACAGAGTCTACAAGAACCCAAGAGACTCTCTGCGGTGTGTGTCCACCCACAGAGACAAGTATTCATAGGAAATCATGTTGCAACGTGGGCCGCTAATGTTTAAAAACAATCCATTTCCAAAGCCAGAGCAAGCAAGCTGCTGTCTCATCTGTAGATTGTGTTCCATCCATGACCACCGTCTGTCAAACTCTCTCCTACACACACACACAAACTCCCCCCAACTTACCACGTCCCTCCGCCCACTGCAACCAAGACTGGACGGTTTTTAGGGGGATATCCAGACACACTAGTGCACAGAAACACACCCATACTCACTAACGATATGTCCACTGAAAATAAACATACCCAGTGAGCGTGAACGGTACAGCACACATACACACGCTCGACAAAAACATGGAGGATAGGGGAGGAAGAACATTTGAATTTTAATACCTTCATATGCATTTTACAAACCTTTGGAAAACAGATGAAAGAGACAGCAACAATGGAGCAGTGTTTCTTTCCCAGAGAAACTCTCCCATGAAGCAATTCTCTTATGCACTTTGCTGGGCTTCAAAGAAGAACAAGGGAAAGAGAAAGATGCTAAGAAAAAAAAATGATGTCAGAAAGTTAATAGAGTGAAAGAAGGCACAATTCAATGTGTCTATGGGAACAGGGAATATCTATGAAAATTAGGGCTGGGTATCGAGTTCGATACTTTTTAGGCACCGACCGAATTGCCTCGATACCATCGAGTATCGAAAAACGTCTCGTCGTTCGGTACCAAATTTCGATACCTAAGGGGTTAATCTCATCAGCGTCAGTGAGCCAATAAGCCTGCAGCACTTGCCGGTGTGTTCGACTAGAAGAGGTGCGGCGCAGATCGATCATCCGCGAGAGCGATTCGAAAGCGCACTGAGCAGTCTGCTCTCTTTAGCTCTCGTGGTACTGTAATACACCTGAAATCATGCTTTCTTTCTCCAGTCTCTCTCACAGACGCACACACGTGACGTGAACAGAAACTTCTTGTCAGCGCTGCACCGCGAATTTATCAGTAAAATAGTTTCGCCCAGCCCTAATGAAAATATAATTAAGGATGTCAATTTACATGTGAATTTAGTGAAGTTATACTACCGCTCAAAAGTTTGGTGTCATTAACACTTTTTTTTCTTTTTGAAGATATTCATACATTTATTCAACAAAGATGCATTAAAGTCATCAAAGTTACAGTAAAGACACTGTTACAAAATAATTCAATTTCAAATAAATGTTGTTCTTTTGAACTTTCTATTAATCAAAGAATTCTGAAAAAAATGTATTATGTATAACAGTTTCCACAAAAATATTAAGAAATGTTTGTTTTCAATATTGATAATAAGTTTTCTTGAGCACCAAATCAGCATATTAGAACGATTTTAGAATTGACACTGAAGTCTGGAGTAATGGCTGATGAAAATTTAGTTCTGCCATCACTTATATATTTTAAAATAGAAAATGATTTTAAATTGTAGTAATATTTCACAATGTTATCGTTTTTACTGTATTTTCTGATTTAAAAAATGAGACTTTCAAATACATCTGAAAAAAATCCTGTAACCATGCAAATGAATAAAAATGTAAATTAAATTTTAAATAAAATAAACATTTCTGGCACAATAAAATGATCTTCATTTGGGAATTTACTTAAAATATATTGAGTACACGTGATTACTTATCATTCACTTAATAAATGACGTATCATGCAATTAATCTGATCAACATTTATAATCAGTAGAGCCCTAATAATACAGACTCAACATACATTATTATCTGGCACAATGTCAGAGCTCTAATGACCTCTACAGTTACAAAAGGTGTGTTCATTGCATATAACCTCTAAGTTAAAAGTGAAAGAAATTCATGCAGAATCCAGTAAGGAGGAATGCAGGCCATATACCCTTGACATAAACACTTAAATAGCATCTATTTATGTCTTTACACTAAATGATTGTTGTAAATAAGCTAGAAAGTTACTTCTATCAACTACAAGTCATTTATAAAAGGAAATGAGTCAGTTTTGACTCAAGATTCATTCACCCTTTACATTTCCATAAGCTCAATCCTACATAATGAGCTGTAAGCGCTGGCACGCTTCGTGGACACCCTTACAACGGCTCATCTGTACTAGTAAACAAACAAATATGTACCGTTAGTCATGTGACCTGGACTCATTAGCCATTAGGCAGATCACTGTTACACAAGCACCTGGAGGCCCACAGTGTGGGTAGTGGAGGTGCAGTTACGGATCAGGACAAAGATCAGTCAGGGAGAGATCTGTGTACTGGAATTTGTGTGACCATAATGCCCTTGAGCAAAAGCACTTAACTCTACTGTAGATTTCCCTAAGAGGACTGTCCCGGCAACAAGTGTACTGTACAGTAGTTATGATGAGTAAAGATGCGGTCACACTAGACTGTCTCATTCACTTCTATTCATTCTATCTGAATGCAGCAGAGTGGGAATTTAAGCATAAGAAGCTTGGATAATATTAAAGTACATAAAAAAAACATTATATAAAACAGATCTTGGCTTCTGATTGGTCAATAACTTTAGCTTGTACCTTGTTCATTCACTAGCCATGAGATCCATCTACTATGAATAATGTGAACATTAATGTTTGGAGACGCTAAAGTATACCACAGCAGCACCCACACATTTTTATTTAATTTTTTTACAATCATGGAAAGTTTGAATATTGACAACATTGCGTAACATTGCTGTCATCACAGAGATGATGCCTTTGGGGAGTCTTGAGTCTAACATGACACAGGCTTGCTTAATCGGGAACTTTGTTTCAGTTGGTCATCTGAACAAAATTTCTGTAAACCACAGCAAGACCAAGGCCAAAAAACTAATTAGAGAGAAACTACAGCTTGGACTGTAGTTGCATAATGCATGTCACCTACACAAAGAACATGAGGAAGAACATTTGCCTATTCTATGAATGCCAGAAGAAACTTTTAGTTTACTCTTCTTTTAGTCATAAAAGACATAAATGGTGTATGTCTTCTGTAAGTACCTGTCAGAACAACGCTCCAGCCATCTAAACCAGAGCACTGACATGAAGAGTATTCATAAAACATAACCACTCTAGAAATCCATCTCTTTGTTTCTGTGGAGAAAAACCAGATTAGGTGACAATGAGTTTGTGAGGGCCAAGAAGCTCTTGAAATGACAGTGTTCTGTGGCTTGCTGTTGGAAACAGTGAGAGACTGAGATAGGAGATGAACAAAGAAAGGATAAAGTTATGTCCATAAACACTGTAGCTCTCCCCAAAGAAGAGGAGGCTGTAAAAACACATCTGCCTGGCTGAGCTTTGATCCGCCGCGTCATTACAAGGCTGCTATCTTTCCCATTCTTCCAGCACACATCCAGATGTACAGATGCGGCAACATCAAAATACAAAACTCTCTTATCTTTTTTGAAAGTCAGTGGAGTTTAAACAACATTTGACACTATGGATATTATTGTACAGACAAATTTTTCAAAATATCTTCTTTTATGGTCCACAGAAACAGGTTTGGAGTGACATTAGGGTGAGTAAACAAAAGGTACTTTTTTAATTAAAGGTTAAGAAGAATCAATAAAATCCATGATTCCAATCCCTAACTTAGACTGTAGTGTAAATTCCAACTCAAATGTTCAAAACTCTCAAACACTAGTGTACAGTATGATTTGTGACCAAACACAGACCCAATTTACAGTAAGGACAATCTGCTAGAAACCTTCTCAAGGAGTTTCAGGAAGTGCATTAAAAGGAAAAGGAAGAGACGCCTGCCGTCTCAGTTGTGATGACGTGATTCTGTGCTGACTGTGCACTGCACCCCCATCGCTTCTTAGCTACGCAACAGTGAAGGATCCTTCCCGTTCTACCCACTTTAGACCACACCACAGGATGTGAATCACTCAAGGAACCGTTAATCTTGTTCTGACAGTGATACAAGTCACCTTCCAGTTCATGAAACAGCCCTTCCAGAGTTTGAACTGGTGACTTTGCACATAGTACCTACCACATATCATTTTCACACGCTCTCTTGCTGCAAGAAACCACACGTTATATCGGAGTGTAACCTTGTGACCTTTGGATAGGTGTTATGGCAGCCCTGTGCGGTTGATATAAACTATGTTTTGCAAACTGAGCTCTAAATCAAATGGAAGGACCACAGACAAATTCCCAAACTGCCTCAAAACATGTGGCGTCATTCAGACTCTGACTGTCAAGCTCTGCGGTGAGAGAAACTCGCCATAAACATATGACAACACTGGAAGAACAAATTCACCGAGCCATTATCATTTTCAAATTGAAATTCTGCATCGTATGTGACTCATACAGCTGAGCCGCATTTCTTATTAAAATTCATAACTTTCCTGGCTAACTTTAAGCAAAAAAGAGAAAGAAAGAAACTGTAGGATAAGGATCCCAGTGACAAATTAGAGCGGAGCAACTGAAATAATTGTTTTGTCATGATGAGAGAAACTCTAGCTCATTCTCCTGATGCACTCTCTCCTCCAAACTGCCAAATAGCGAGAGCACCACCGCAAGCTCCTGCTAACCCTTCCTCGCAGCATATACAAGCACAGAGAACCACATCCTGACGAGGGGAATGCAAAAACAAGGGCCCTGCTTCCCTGAACTGGAAAAGCGGTTACACAATGTGAACTTTTCACTGTCAAACTGGATAACTTCACTCAAATTATTACAATTCTTGCTTTCATTGAAAGCCAAAGCAACGCAGGAAAAAAGGGCTGAAAGAAAACGTCTCAAAGAAAAACAATGGCAAATGATTCAACTCGAAAAAGTACCGACATTAATGGCAGGACAGATGGAAGACTGTCTTCGTCCTTGATGTCCACCCAAGGTGGGCGGCTCTGTGCGCATTTCCCAGCATTCTATTGGAAGATAGAGTAGGATCAACCGAGAGAGACTCACAGGGAAGAAGTGGACATGAAAAGATTTGAAGAAGATCTGACTGGGGCGGAGACACAACAGATAAGTACTCTGGACACACAGCAGGAAGTCTGATCAAGGATGCTTTCACTTGGACATTCATGGCTCCAGAGATCCTACCACTGAGTATCCTGTTGAACCAAATCAGTCTTCAGCCCCACACACAACTGTTGCCATAAAAGTGGGTGAGTAAGAGGGCATGTGTGTGAGCCAAGTAAAACTGTGGTCTTGTTTCCAAAGCAAAATACATAGTGTACCAGTGATGCGACTCATGATTTCAGAATAAGTATCCTGCATTCAATTTCCTACTGTAGCATCAAGATGAATAACTCTAACAAAACTACTTTTTTAAACATCGAATCATCAGGGCACTACCTGAATGAAAGAAAGAAAGTAAGAAAGTAAGTCATATAGGTTTAAAGATAATCAGATGCATTTCTTAGGGGGCACATACAAAAGACAAATTCTTGATTTCAAGACTAGTTAGATCAGTGATGGGCAAACTTGGCCCTTCCAGGCCACTTTCCTGCAGAGATTTGATCCAACCCTGATAAAACTCACCTGCCTGTAGCTTTCTAGTAGTCTTGAAGACAATGATTAGCTGGTTCAGGTGTGTTTGATTAGAGTTGGAGCTAAACTCTGAAGGAAAGTGACCTGGAAGGGCCACCCCTGAGCTAGATCGAGAATTTTACAGAACTTAGGGGTCTTTAAACACATTGTTCAAATTGGAGTTATCTTCACTTGACAGCATTTTAAAAACATGTAAAAACACTGAAACAAAACAAGTAGCAAATCGTCCACATGAATGTGATATTTGCAGCACTCATGCTTTAAAATCTATTTAATATATTTACAGAATTTCACATCATTAGCTTTTCCTATAGATGGTTCGGAAATCGTATATTATCTAGATAATATGCACACTCTTGGACCAGTTTCTGTACAACATGTGTGTAGTAATATTATTTTAAAGAAATCATTAATATAACAACTAATTTCAGTGATGTAATTCTTAAAAAAACAGTTAAAATGCTATTCCTTTGTGCATAATAATGTGTGTTGTTACTGCCTGCAGTATTTATCTTTACATTTTCATAAACAATGTTGAATTAATTGCTATGGTATTTAGGATCAAATCCAATCGTATGAGCAATTTATAAATAAGGCCCCAGAGATCAACATCTTAGGCCAAAGGCATTTAGTGGTCCACCTCAGAGAGCAGTATAGAGTAAAAAGAGTCTTACCAATAAGCCCCATCCAACTACTCTTTTGCTGCCCCATAATAAGCGAGAGGGGAGAACCAAACGCATAGGAATTAACTACATGAGTCCAGAACCCACTTCATGGTGTTCGCAGAGAATGGGCTCAAGACTGAGAAACAGCATACATTAAAGACACATGTACTACATTTTCTTACATTCTTTATACATTATATAAAGAGCTGGAGAATAACTGGAAAACTTATATAATAGCTGGAGAATACAGACTGTCCACAGAATAAAATCAGTTTGCCCCTTTAAAGAGCTTCTATACAGATAGACACTTTTGTTGTAGCCAACTCTTTTTAAAGAAGGTCATCTGACAGTAGTTTAACTAAATCTATTTAAGTAGAGTATAGCTTGGCAAGCTAGTTTCAAAGTAGCTTCTCCAACACTGATTATAAACATTATTTTATAACATAAGCAGCTCTTACCACATCCAGGTTCAGATTTCCACTGGGAAGTGCAGAATTCTCTGGAGGACTGGCACACACTACAACACGCTCAGGAAACACACGCAACTCTGTAAAGGTCAAACAAAAATAAAGATGGAGTTGTAGCTAAAGTGATGTGGAAGCCATTTAGCACAATATTATATACAGTAAATTTTCCCTTTGAAACAAAGGGTGAAATGGGAGGGGAGACGAAAATATGCATGATATTCATATAAAATTCTCACACACATCTGAAGTATAAAATGGGAGTGAAACCACTAAGACGAGAAGAGCATCAACAGCTTAAAATGACCTCAATGCCCTCTTCATGGGAAATGTTGAAAAAGCTTTGTTGTTTTTAAGAAAATGGCTAAGCTGCCATAAAGTTGAATGTAAACTTCACGTCCCCACTGCCCCTCAGTCAATAAAGTTTCAAATATGTAACTTGATATAAGTAAAACAAACCACATTGTTTGATGTATTCCGGTTTAGTTCCTTCAAACTTGGCCAAATTTAGCTTGAAAAACGAAGGCCAAGCAAATTGTTGGTCAGTTACTTTTCCTTCTTTTTGTTTTTCCTAGATCACTTAAAATAATCTATACCGGACAGCCTTATTAGTCTGTATGCTTCTAATTAGTTTCTATTTTTTTGAGGCATGTTAAACACAAATCATGTAGAATGATGACTGTAATTCCCTTCAGAGTCTGACATGCTATATCTCTAAAGATACAGTGAAGCTTTAGTCTGAACTTGTTTACTATGATAAGCAAACCACATTTTCCCTGTGAGCTGCTGTCAAGCCAGGCTCGGGTGGACTTGGCTGTAGTCTCAAATATTTGTTGAGCTCTGTCTCTATTAGGACGGAGTGCAATTGTCTAGCCAGATATAATGGGTGGTTTCTGCAAAGAACTTTCTCTCTATACATTTGACTTGAAACTACAAGTTCTGCATAAAACGCATTGGAATCATGTTCTGAGTTGCCAACTAAGTGAACATATTTCAGCTGACTTTTTCCAAAATAAAAACGATCCAGACAGTGACCTCCGACTGAGCCTGACAGCTGTACGAACTAATAACAACACAGGTGCTCCTGATACAATCATCTGTTTCATGAGTCAACTTAATGTGGAAAGAAATACTCAAACCAGTCTTCTTTAGTCAATGAGAAGAGGAAATAAACTACCTCTGTAGTGCTGCCTGATAATGCATCTCAGGTTGACGTGTCGTTTCATGAAGTGCACCGCCAGGCAAACATTCCCACCTGCAAAAGAAAACACATTTTATGGAGCAAATCTGCTAACACCCAGAAAACCTTCACTGGTAATATTCAAACAGTGAAAGCTTGTCACGGTAAGCTAATGATAAAACAGTCGCTTTTAGGATTGCCTGTTTGTTTAAACAAATCCTCATTTACGCATAAGGAAACACTTTTCTCCGGAAAATAATTTTAATGCAAATCAGCACTGTATTAAATGATAGTCTGCGACACATCTCCTAAACATGGACGTTATCAATTATACGTGGCCATGCAAAGGTCAGAACAAAGGCTGTTAATGTCTGCCAAATATGACACTGCACAAAGGCGGTTTAGTGTCTGAAAAAATACCAAAGCGTTTAAGCAAATGAGAAAGAAGCCTCATAGTTCAGGCATGAACGTAAGCTGTGCCAGGGGCTTCTTGGCCTTTGAAGTCCACTGTAACAAGACTGACTGAACGCTGAAACTATTTACAGCCTCTAATGGTGAGAGAGTTTTATGAATTCATGCTCCACTCTTTTGAGAAAAAACACATAATGTGCCACTTTGCCTGCATAACCTGTATTTTAGAAGGCAAAAATCTCTAAATACTGGGTGAGTGGCTGAAAATTTGCACCGAAGACTGTTATTTATTATTCCTACATGGCTCTCTGAAATACTCAATTGTGATTGGTCAATTTTAAGGTCAAATATTTTAGTGTGCAACTGCTAGACTGTATAGTGGATCACGCTGTGCTAGTTTCGTGCCTCTTGTGCATTCATCAATCTCGTTTTTCTCACAAAATAAATAATTTGTCAACATTTATTAAGTGGGATAATGTACAGTCATCAGGTAATTATCACAAAATAAACCCTTTCAATGTGATATAAGACCAGATCATTCTGTTAGCGTTTATTTTGCAACGATAAGATGACAGGAGAATAAATGAAGATTTATTGTAAAATTTTCTGTTTGCACAATTTTGTTCACACAATGGAAGAAGTGAATAAATAGGGTGTATACAAAGGCCAATCAAACCGCTGAAATGCATAAACCAAGATTAGTTTGTGACTCATTCAGGATCGACATCCTTCAACAAGAAGATTCAGAGCTGAAAAAAGCATACTGGATATTACCAACAAATATATTCAAGTTAAAGGGATAATTCACCCAAAAATGAAAATGTTGTCATCATTTACTCACCCTCATGTCGTTCCAAACCTGTGTGAGTTTTTTTTTTCTTATGTTGAACATAAAAGAAGATATTTTGAAGAATGCTGATAATCAAAGTTGATGGTCCCCATTAACTTCCATAGTATTTATTTTCCTACTATGGAAGTCAATGGGGACCAACAACTGTTTGGTTCTTCAAAATATCCTCTTTTCATTTTTGGGTGAACTATTCTTTTAAAAATGAAAAGATCTTTTTTTTTAAATGATATTTTCACACTAGAGATTCTGTTGTGGACTCAAGTCAGTTTGACAGTCTGAAATCAGTTTTCTGATCTGAAATTATTAAACACTATATTAGGCAATTTACAGTGCATATAGTATAATGAATATAATAAAAATATAATAAATTAATTTAATTTTAAAAAATTAAATCCATTTATTTTATTTAAAAAAGAAATATTTGATTTGCTCAGTCCAAGCCATAGGTAATGAAAAAAATGAGCATTAAATTATATATGTAATGAATTGATTTTTTAAAAAATGAAATTATTTCATTTAAATTATTTTTATGTTTATTATATTGTATACAGCAATTTTTTAATTGACTATGGTTCGGATCAAGCAAATCAAAATCAAATAAAGTGTGAAAACAGCCCAAGACACTGAAATCGCTTCTAATGTGTCATTTGTCTCATTATATGAAGCGTTCAGTGATGTCAAAATTATGCGTTCATTCACTTTTGCAGTTGCCAGAGCAACCATACCAATTCGCTGTTAACATGCCAAGAAAACAAGTTCATTCAACCCTATAGTGTTGGAGCAGTGACACGACCATTCAGTTTTAATTTAAGAGACAGCGGGCAAAGGAAGAATCCAGCCTAGATCTGTTTGTCATTGTCCAAGGAATGCAAGATCCACTAGACGCGAAGGCAGAGCACTGTTGCTTAATCTGGGAGGAATTTGTCGGCAAGAAAGGGGGCCTGGTGAACACGCTACATATCTGCCAGTGCAGCTGTAAACAAGAAAACAGGCATGGGAATCCATCAGCTCTCACTCTGTGCCCTGAATAGACCCCTCAACCTCTCTGACTGTCTGTGAGAGACTGCCCTAGGCTGCCACAGGACCGTAAAACACACCCGAAATGAATCGGACTACTATCTAATGACCCCAAGTGCTTGGGCATATCGGTTCAGATCATAGAAACCAGAGAGAAAAACAAACTCAGCTTGGGCACTCTAAAATAGCCTCACCCTCACTTCCAGAACATTTGTCTGTCTTTAGAGTGCATGTTAGATGTGTCAAATGAGCAGAAATGCATTAGAGAAGACAGGTTTACCAGTTGATGTCATCGCAGGCCCTGCAAACAGCTAGCTAGGTCCTCAAACTGGAGCTTCTGCAGTTAATGATATGCAATTACAGTGTCTGCCAGCCACAAAACTGTCATCAACACCCCCTGTATGTGATTGATGGATCTACCTCCTACTTTCTTTTACTTCACAGGTAGTGCTTAACAGCAGCTCCACTTTAGTTGTTTTATTTTCAATACCTTTGTCCTCGGCCATCGGCCATCAAAACTAACTGTGCTGTAGAAACAATGGTACAATCAGTCACAGTAAAGATAGAAGGTAGATTAGGACAGCATCAAACTTCCTGCACACACTTGCTTTGATACAGCTTCCATTTAAGGCTCAAACGTTGATAGAAACAACAAACAGAGCATTTAAATCCTAATAAACCCTAAACTCAAGTCACTGTATCCAAGATACAAAATAATTATCATAAATGTTATTTTATCCCACCTATGAGAATAATAGGCTATGGTAAGCATCTTGTGTGAAACCCCGGTGAGCCTGCCAAACAGGCTCCTAATGTTGATATTCATGTCAAGGTTCCAGGTGACTGGTGCTCATTTTTGCTCTAGGGAAGTGATACAAGACTAGTGGGAACTGAAACACCTAGCTTCACAGAACTGTTCATCTAAGCAATGCAAGTTAATATGAATCAGATACTCCCTCGGGTGTTCTTCCCCATCACAAAGAACCAACCGAGGAGGATTTCAATATCAGATTTATATGCTTTTGAGATGACTTGGACCTTAAAGCGCTCAAAGGAGAAAGGCAACACCGGCAGAGAGATCAAGATGGCACATGGAACCCTACCAACTTCAATGAGGGGGGGGAATAAAGCGTGCGTGGACAGTATCAGCGTCTTATCTTTTCTGCTCCTAATCTTTTGAGTATGCAACCAGCCTCCCCAAAAGCTTGGGAGAGTTATGGGAAAATACAGTCCCAAAATGAGTCCCTCTGCTATGCATCAAGAGCCTAGGGCATGTTCTTTCCCTTTTTAACTTTAGTGTGGATGGATTGAACAAACAACAAACTGATAATCTGCATATTTCAGGAGATAAAGAAATGGGCATCTTTCCTGTGTGCTTCAAAACCTTCAGTCTAGTCCGTTTCATTCATGTCCATCCCAACTTAGATTGACCCATCCTCCCACCTCCTTACTGAGAAAAAAAAAAGTTTAATAGCATTTGTGTTTCCTCTTTTCCTTCACTTCAAAGAAGCAATTCCCAAGAGGAGGCTGACAGAGGAGTCTGGCTCGAGAGTAGAACCACAGAAAGGCTTGTTTTGAGAAATCAGCTGTTGGTTGAAAAAAAAAAAAAAGCTCTTGCAGCTTCAATTCTTCTGGCCCAGGCCAGCAAGCTAAATGTAAATCTTAGTGTCTTTTAGCTGTTTAGGCACATCCAAAAACACCCCTTCTTAAGAGAAAGAAAATACTGGAGTTATCTAGATAAAGACTGATGTTTACAGAAGTGCTTCTCAAATGTTTTTGATTCAAGACCCAGATTTTACAAGCGGCGACTCAACACTGTATCAGAATTACTTATCATTTAACAGTAAACAAATGTGCCCATAAAATTAAACACTTAAATTTGTCATTTCAGCTTGAGAGAGTTTTAGGCCAGTAGACAGAACTGTATTGTACAGAAATATTTTAATGCCTTGCAAACTTAATATTTGGATTTCTGGTGTATTCTACATTGTTGCTGAAAATTCTGCTGATTTGTCACCAAGATAATCTTATCTAGCTAGCTGACATTAATGATGCTTTTTTGTTTTTGCAAAAAAAAAAAAACATGAGTTTTGGATGCATCAGTAAGACTGTTGAAAATGGCAAACCAATTGATAATGTTTTGCATTATTTTCCAGCAAAATCTGCTTATAGAGTTGCAAATGTTCTTTGAAAGAAAAAAGGAAGAAAACATTTAGTACAATTTCTTTTTGTAAATAAAATAATAGTTTTGTGAAGAAAAAAAATAAAGAAAACTTTAAAAAATATACATTCTTTAACAAATATTATTCTACCAGATCTGTATCACTAACAAAATCAGAACATGGCCACCAGACCCACCAGATGTTGCAAGTGGCATGTGATGTTCCAGAGAAGACGATTGAGATGCCCTCTGAGAAAAAGTGTTTCAACACTCAATCCACATGGCAACACAACATCACAACATACGTCTTTCCACAGGTTTCGCTGACACTAAGCCAAGGCAGAAATATATACAGTACATCAGTACACACACATGCAGTTGCCCCCCCTGGAGCTTTTACCACTTCCTGGGAAAACAATAGAGAGAACGAAAAGTCAACAAACCAGAAGAATGCAAAGAGGAATGTGAAATAAAATGGAAGAACGGGGTGAGTGATCCCTTGTCTCCAACTAGAGGCATTCTTTCCACTGATTCAGAGTTCAAAGAAGAACATGAGCTATAAAAACCTCATCAGCTCTAAACAAATGGAGAGCACAGACAGCTCAACATGTGAAAGAATAATAATCATCTCTCAGC